CAGTTGCTTGCGGGGCTGCGTTATGTCTGCAAGGCCAAGGTTTTGAAAAATTTAGACCTCTGGGCTGTTATGGGGAAGGCTCTGTATGGAGGTCTTTTTTGGAGCCTTTTTGTTATCTATGCTGTTGGTACAAACACGGAGACCGATTTTTGTGTGGCGTTACCCTTGACTTGAACAAGTTGGTTAGTTTTTGAATGCTCCAAGCGCCACAAAGTGAGGAAGCAACAAAAACCTTATAAACGGCCCAAGACACGGGAAGCAATGTGGATAACCAGGGGGATGTGGAAAACCAATTTTGATTACCATGCCTCACTTTGTTTTTTCTGTTTTTTTATTTTTTATTTAAGGCTTGTCTAACTTTTTTAAGTGCTATCCTTTTTACCAGCCTGTTTTGTCTCGTAGAAGCAGCATTTTTTTAAGTGCTGCGCACAAACCTCTCTCTTGGAGGAACACTAAATCGGTATGGAGAAAAAGAGTCTTTAGGTCAATGGACTATCTTAAGTAGCATCTGGGGATAGCTACGGGCGAAGCAAACAAGGCTGGGAGTGCCCCCATGGGAACCATTGTTTGGCTTAACGCCCGTAAGTCTTGTAGCAGCGCCATTGCCAGTTTTTTTTTTGAATAACGAAAAATGGGGTGTTTTATGGTGAGAGGTAGAGGCTCATGTGTCTGGCAGCTAATTGTTTTGTGACTAAACGCTGTAGCTGCGTAGCTGGTTTGTTAGACGGCGAGGGGCCACTGACGATTTATACAGGGAGTCACTTTTTTAAGTTATAACTTTAATTGGGCTTACACATAATACGTTTATTTGTGCAAGGATATTACGCCCCATAAGTACAAGGCACGGCCCGGGAATACAAAGGTTTGAGTGTACCTTTTGTTTTTCTCATGGTCTTTTCACGCAAAAATGTTTTGGAGCTCTGGAGAGTATCTTTAGACTGTCCCTATACCTGTAAGTGCGTAAGGAGGGGCTGCAGTGCCATGATTGGGCCAGCCCTGGCAATAACAGCTGAGATGGGCGCCAGAACGATCAAGAAGGCCCTCAAAAAAGTTTACGCCAATCTAACTTTAAACGCAGGTGGGTTGTTTTTGGGTGAAGCTTGGACCTCAAATAAAAACAAAGATCAGAAGAGCCAGGGCACAGAAGCACCTCGTTAGAGGCGATGCTGGAAGTGCACTGCCGCTAGGATGTTAATTTCCCTGTAAGTCACTATTACTATGGAAGGTGGACATGAGCCCCAAACGAGTGGAGAGCTCGGCCAGAATAAAAAAGAACATGTGCGGGGGGAGGGATGTCTCAAAGACCAGTAGGCAAATTTGAACACCATCCCTAGTCTTAATATTGTGTTCGGAGAGACACATCCACTCCTGCGCTCCCTGTGGTTGCTCGGTGGCAGTTCTAGGGGCTAGGGATCTTTCTGTCGGTCTGTTCTCTGAGGGCCGACTGAGTAAGTTGAATGGGCGAGCCCAGGCTGCCCCTCAGCCGTTTTTTTGAAAGGGGGCAAGGGATTTTTGAGGTAACGTCTTGGATGCGCACGATTGGCCAATGATTTCCCCCTTGCAGTCGAGGACAGAGGCCTGGCGGCTTAGGAGGTGTAGGTCGCAGAGGAATGGCCAAGGGCATGCCTCCGCAAAGTGTCCTGGCTGACACACTTAAAACAGCCCTCCTGTGCCGCAGTGCCTTGAATGCGCACCCCGACCGCAAGCTGCAACAGCCCTGCGAACACTTGATGGGCGAAAGGGTCAGCATCACTTACACATCCTAATTTGCATGTCATTAAGTCTTGTCGTTTAAGTTTACCCCTCTGAGGATGGCCTGCAGGTCTGTTGGCATTTATAGGCCAATTGTTTAATAAGTTTATATTGCCATCCTCGTTGTCTTGACGGGTCTTCTCAGCAGATGTTAAAAGCCTACCTATAAATTTACTAAAGCCCTCTTTGAAGCTCCGCCTGGGACTTTTTGTCAGGGAGTGAGAACAGATCCGTAAGGAAAGTGCTCGCCAGCGCCGAAGGCGGCTGCGGCGGTCTGGGACAAAAGTCTAATTGGGAGTCTCCTTTGGCGCTGTTCAGTAGCAAATCTCCCCTGTCCGCTAAGCTTTTTAAGGGTCTAAGATGCAGAATTGGGTTTTTTTAAATTATTAGCAGCCGTGGTCTGACAGCGGTCGAGAAAGTCGGCCTTCTAAGAGAGGAACTGCCGAGAAAAGGACCACCTGTACTAGCTTGATCCATTCTCCGGGGAGCAGGTAGCCGCCCCCTGAGGCTGTCTTAGGAGGAGTAGGTAAAGGTGCATTGGGCCATACGTCCTAACAGCAGAATTTATTTCTTTTTATAGGTTTTGAACTTAGTCCTGCGAAATTAGTGGCTCTGAATCTGTCTCTTCGTTGAGGTCATCGCTTTCGCTTTCTCTTTCCCTCCCTTCCGTATCCTCATTGTCAGAATCTTCAGGGCGGGGACTGGCTCGAGAGAAGGGCGGCAAGGTCTTTAGACGGGTAACCACCGGGAATGCTAGGCCTATGGGGGGATTTTAACGGATGTCGCGCCTTACGGCTCCTTTTGGTAAGGTGTGGCTCTCTCATAATGGGGTTAAATTAAGATGGGGATCCAGAATTAAGTGTATTTCTTAATCACGTGAGGGAGGCATAAGCGTTGGAAAGCTGTGGCAGAGATTGTCTCTTAGTTTTGAGTTTGTAGTCCATGTGAGACTCACTAGATATTCAAACCTTGCCTCAGACATAAAACGCAGTTGATTCCAAAGGCTATAAAGACACCCATAATGGAATTATCGCAATGCCGCATACCAAGTGCACACCCCCACCAGCAGTAAAGTAACTCCATGACAAAAATATTATAGGTCCATGCCCAGAGGCACACTTCATCATTAAAAGTGCCAGAGCTAGATGCCACCTACATAGCCTAAGACAGAAGCCTCACCTTCACATTAATCACACAATCTTATTTAGGGTGCTAGTCACAAAAGCCCATCGCGTAGCCTAAGACAGGCTCTCCACCAACCTGTGTAAATCTCCCTCATATTAATAAAAAGAGGGGGAGATGTTAGAGACTAAGACCCTCAACACCCCAACGACTTGTCCTACGCACGGGCCTCGCCCTAGAAAATTCCCAAGACGAAAATAAGCACCCAACCCTCCAGCTATAGCTCTGAAAAGAATGCATTCCATGACGTGCTTGCTCCAGGGTGTGCTACCTGCAATTGTTTGCTCCAGGGTGTGCTACCTGCTATTGTTCCCGACCCCCTGCCAGGTTGAGGTTGAGTAATCAGTCACAAACAGTTTCATGCCATTTGGGGCTAATTAACCCAAACCCGAGCCTCATCATCCCCCCACTCTATTTTTCTGTTCATACTTCCTTGTTTCTATATAATTATAAAACCAGCAAAAAATCTAAATAAAGTAGACCTTGACAACCATTTGCTTAGTCTCGTTCCTTTCTCTCGCCCATCTCTTTCAGGCACGATCCCCCTTACCCCCCCCGCGAGTAACAAAATGTCCTGCAGGCCGAGACAGGCAGTGGTGGCAGGTGGCAGTGGTGGCAGGTGGCAGAGGTGGCAGGTGGCAGAGGTGGCAGGTGGCAGAGGTGGCAGGCCGTTTGAGGGAGGACTCTGGCTGTGTGAGACACAGTCCTACAGAGCCTGCACCCTGTGGCTGCACGTCCCAAAGCCCCAGGACTCTGGCCGTGTGCGGACCTCACCTTTCATGCCTTTCTGTTGTCCACACGGTGTCCTTTGTTGTACCTGGTCTCCTCGTCGACAAGAACCTCCATCACCCCACTCCCCAGCTCAGACCAAAGGCTGCCTGGGGCCCTGCCTACATCTTCTGATCCTTTGCCCTTCCTTCCTCTGCTCAGTCACATGGGCTGTCTTCTGACCTCAGGACATTTGCAGGTGCTTTGCTTGCAAGTTCCTCCAAGGTTTGCTCCTCTGCCCACGCCATGTCCTGTGGACAGCCTCTGAAGGACACACGGGGTGGGGCTGGGTGAGTCAGGGTGGGGAAGGTTCCTGCCCAAAGCCCGGGCCTGGCCCCCAGTCCTGGCTTGGGCCAGTCACTGGACCTCCCAGACATCAGTCTCTTGACCTGGAAAATGCACACGTGGAGTGACCTTGTAGGCTCGTCGCAAAAGTTAAACGCGTGTCTTAGCGTGGTGCTGGGTGAGCCCAGCGCTCAGTGCCGCCAGCCGAGTTTACCAGCAAGGCTCCGTCTGAGCAAGGCCACAGCCTGAGGACTGTGAGACTCAGATGGGCCTCCACCAGCAGCCTGACCAGCCCGGGTGTGAGACGGTGACCACGGGGCCTAGGCTGGCTTTGGGCAGGCCCGAGAGGTGCCAGCTGTCATCTCTCCACGGCTTAGTGTTCTCCTGCCTGGCCCCGAGCCACAGAGGGGCTGTAGGTGGGGTGAGGAGGGGCTGGCAAAGGAGCGGCCGGTGGTGTGGGGACTCCCTGGTGACCTGGGGGCCACCGTCCTGCCCCATGTCTTTGCAGAGCTTGTCGGGAAGAGTGAAGCACCTGAAGGAGCGGATGTCTAAGGCCCAGAGAAGGCGGAGCACGCTTTCTTCCCAACGCCGTCCGAACCCAGAAATAATCTTCTGCCAGGAACAGCCGCTGCTGTTGGACAGCCAAGCGCCAAGACAAATGATGTCTACCCCAAACTGCCAGGCCACAGGGGACAAGGAGGCCGATTTCCTCTCCAATGGCTTCGACTTCCTAAAACTGAAGGATGAGCTGTCACCTGGAAACCAGAGCGAAGCCAGTGCAAAGGTGAGTCCAGCATAGTGGTGACCGGGCAGGGCGAGTCCTGCCGCCAGTGCCGACGGCCGGCGGGTAACAGAGCCAGCCTGTCTGTCCCTGCCACTTGCCCAGTCACGTCTGTCAAGGACCAGGGACGTTCTCAGACTGCTTCAGCAAGGAGCCGCTGAGCCCGGGGTCCGGGGGCGTCTGTTCTGTGCGCTGGGGCTTGGCCTCCCAGCGTCCCCACTGCCGGGCCACCCGCTCCCCTCCTCGCTCCGCAGCCCCTGGGCCAGCCTCTGTCCTCCTTGCCGCCCCAGCTCCATCCACAGCCCCCTCCCTGCGGCATCGCAGAGGCCTCCGAGGACAGGACGGACAGGGTGCCTCAGCTGAGGCGCCCCCCCACCGTTCGCCTCCTCCCCTCCCCCTGCGACCCGGTGTCCTGGCGGCACAGACCCTGCCCGGCCCCACCAAGGACCCCACCAGAGACCGAGGCAGTGGCGTCCCTTCTGCCTCCTCCAGGGGTCCGAGAACAGCCTGTACAGCCGGTACGAGGAGGAGGTGCGCCCCTGCATCGACCTCGTGGACTCCCTGCGCGCGCTGGGCGTGGAGCAGGACCTGGCCCTGCCGGCCATCGCCGTCATCGGGGACCAGAGCTCGGGCAAGAGCTCCGTGCTGGAGGCGCTGTCGGGGGTCGCCCTCCCCAGGGGCTCCGGTAAGCTCCGCCCCGCCCGCGCAGCCACCCGCCCCCTACGGAGCATCCTCGGGGCGCAGCGGGGTGTCGGAGACAGGCCTGGCAGGGGGGGCGGGGTCTCGGTGGGGCGGCAGGGTGTGACGCCCTTCTCATTTACATAGCCACGCCCCCGGTGTCGCCAGGGTCCGGGGACCTTGCTGTCTCTCTCTATCGGTCTTTGTGAGAACGGAGAAGCATTTCTTCTCTGATGGGGTTAACGTGGTGCGTTTTAGGGGACACATGGAGCCTTTTTAAAGAATGCTGTCAACGTTTTGGAAAACCCTTAGCCAGGGTCACCGCGGTGTCACTGGCGTGGTCACGGTGTGGTGTGACGCCGCGGTCCTGTGTGTGTAGCACGGAGAAGCTGTTGTGCATCTGTAACTCGATGGAATAACGAAAAGAGAGAGAGGGAGGGGCGGGATCCCCACAGTGGGCCTTGGAGGGGGACTTCACAGCGGGAGGCAGGTGAGGGGACGCTGGCCGGAGGGGAGCAGCTTCCAGACCCCGAGGGGGAGCAGAGGGAGCCCGTCCCTTCGCCCCCCACTCCTGCCAGTAGTGCTCACCTCCGAACCCACCAGAGCCCGGGGCTGCAGGTCCCGACACGGCAGGGTGGGGTGGTGGAGGGCTGCCCCCACCTGCCCCGCCCCAGCACCAACTGCAGGGCTGAGGATTTCATCCTGCAGCCTGGTCCTTTCCCCAGCGCGTCCAGAAAGATCTCTCAGCCCAGGCCCTGAGGCAGGAGAGAGCATGCTCTGGGCTCAGCATTTCAGGGAGAGAGACAACAGGACAGGGGGTCTGAATGCCAGAGGGCAGGCAAGTCCTCCGGCCAGAACATGAGGACAAACCCTCCCAGGGCCAGGGGGGTACAGGGGTAGGTACGGGGACTTCGCAGCAGGCGTGTGGTCTGCTGGCCTGGCCCCAGCCTCTCCCAGCTCCCTCCGCCCCCCTTCCCTGGGCCCCCCACCAGGATGTACGCAGAGCCTGCAGCAGACACCCAGCCTCGGGGGTGCGGGGCGGGAATGAGCCGGAGCCCCAGTGTCTGCTCGTCACTTACAGAGCCCGCGGCAGGTGGGCACCCAAGGATGGCAGCGCCTCCCAGAGCCCTGTGCCCCCTCCCACCTTCCATTCGGGTCCCCTCACACACTGCTGAGCCCCAGGAAGGGCCAGAAAGTTCAGACAGGCCTTGGGGACACCAGGGCAGGTCCTGGCGGTGCACTTAGAGGGACCAGAGGCATTGCTTTCAAAGGACACTTATGAGGTTTGGGGACCTGTCTCTCAGGAGTGACCACCAGGTGTCCCCTGGTGCTGAAGCTGAAAAAGCAGCCAAGTCAGCTCGGCTGGGCGGGAAGAATCAGCTACCAGAAGACGGAGCTGCAGCTGCAAGACCCCTCTGAGGTGGAGAGGCAGATTCTCCAAGGTGAGCCCCGCGGCTCCGCGCTGTGCAGCTGCTGCCCTGGCGCCCGCCCGGCCGGCCGCACTAGAGCGCCTCACCCCTCCCTGCCAGGCCTTGTCCGGTCTTCGTGGTCCGTTCCTGGGCTCAGGGGGATAAGCAACAAATAATCCGAGTGTGGCAAGAATCTCTGTAGGAGGGACCATGTCAAGGGAGGCACTTGCATTACTGAAGAGCAAACTCTGTATCAGACAAGGGTCCTTTACACCTGCGGTCCCCACCACTGGCCAAGGACCGGCACTGGTCTGCTTCCTTTTAGGAACTGGGTCACCTGAGCTCCACCTCCTCCCTACCCTCCTGTTCCCCCACCCCTATCCGTCAAATTGTCTTCCATGACACCAGTCCCCGGTGCTAAAAAGGCTGGGCCCCTGCTTTACATGACCTCCCGGGTTCAGCCCTTCCCCGAGAACCCCCATCGGCCTGCGTCAAAGGGCTGTGGGGGGGGGGGAGGGAATCCCTGCCCGGGGGGGATCCAGAAGCTCTGCCCCTAGGTTGAATTCAAATACAGAAGCTACTGGGGACCCCCTGTTGGCAAGTTTCCTAACCTCACACTTCAAGGTCTGCACCTGGCTGTGCCCACCGCAGCCACCAGGTGCCCCCAGACGTGCAGCGTCTGTTTGCATCCTCTGGGGTCTGTCCAACGGGGCTCTGAGGGGCAGGGCCAGGCAGGCTGTCCGCAGCAGGACGCTGGCCCACCGCAGGTGCACGCTGCCCTCAGGTTCTAGGTAAGGGCGAGCAACGAGCAAACCACAGCCAGCACATCTCTCGACTAGCACCCCAGAGGCCGGGCGAGGCTGCTCGGGGCTCACCGCTGGTAGAGTAAGTTGTGCAACCACTTGGGCAATCTCCACTAAAGCTGTTGGCAGGAGGCCACTCCTCACCACGTGGACTTCCCCAAGCGCCTTGGTGTCCCTGTGGCATGGTGCTAGCGCCCCCCTAGGGCAAGCCATCTAAAAGGGGCGAGGAGGGGCAAGCGTGTCACCTCCACTGTATTGATTTGTTAGAAGCGAGTCCCCATGTCCAGCCCACACTGGAGCCTCCACTCTTTGGAGGGAGGAGAGTTGAAGAATTTGAGGACATATTTAAAAGCACCGCAGCACCCACTGGGGAACGCTGAAGAGAGAGAACAGAGCCCACCCCGGTCCCGTTGCTAACATGTCCCTGTGTTTCCCTTGGAGGTGCACACACACTCGGCAGCCTCCAGGATGGCTCTGCAGGCTTCTGTGACTTGTGTCTAAACACTGGGGACGCTCTAGAGCCCCCATTCCCTGGCAGCAAGCCGCCACTCGCCCTCGGGAGCAGCTGCTTTCCCTCTTAGGGATGATTAATTCCGACTCTGGGTTCCCTCCCCTTGCCCTCCGCAGCCCAGGTGGCTTTGGCCGGGAATGGCACTGGCATTAGCCACGAGCACATCAGTCTGGAGATCAGCTCCCCCGAGGTTCCGGATCTGACCATCATCGACCTTCCGGGCATCGCCAATGGCACTATGGGCGACCAGCCCCAGGACATCAGACACAAGGTGAGCCTTTCCGGAGTGTGGGAACGGGCCAAGCTGACGTCGGGGAGACCTCTGAGGTGTCTGCCTGCAGCCCCAGGGGCAGGGGTGCCCACCCCGAGCCCCGAGCCCCGAGCCTTGACACTGAGTGAGGAGGGAGCAGCCTGGGCAGGGGCCACCTGGGGCAGGGGCCTCCTGCTCAGGTTCTGACTCGGGCGTGGCAGGTCCTGGAGACAGAGAGGGGAAAGGGATGGGACTGGCAGGTGCATGGGACGGCTCACTTCCCGTCCAGCACGGTCACAGGGCAATGTGGGCCCTGTACTACCAGCTGCCCTGATGCTAGAAAGAGGGCAGAAATTTGGATTGTCACATGAAATCTTCCCACTTAACCAAAAAATATTTTAATTAATATTATATAAGTCAGTGAGAACATGGCCTGTGATCTCTGGCCAGGCACAGTGGCCTGCGGCTTCTCTGCCAGTGGCCTTTCCATTTAAACCTGGTCCTCGCTGGGATGCCTGAATCACACGTGGTGTGGAAACACTTGTGCACGTCCTGTGTTTGGGCCGGGGCCAGTACAGCCCTGTCCAGGTCTGCCACACCACTCACCTGGCAACCAGGGAGACAGGGCGGTTCCAGGAGCAGGGTGGACTCCAGGGCAGGGGATTGTGGGGAGGCGATGAGCCCTTCCTGCCCTAGGACTGGGGTCACCTGCCTCACTTCTTCCATTTTATGGGGGCCACGGCCAGTGTTGCGAACCTGGGAACCCAACCAAGAACTTATCATGGGGTGGCAGCTCCAAGAGCATCCTTGGTGGGGTCACCACTAGCTCTACTGTTCTGGGCAGAATCCTGGGCAGGTAAATTTTGCTTTTTACTGCAACATCCAAATCCGTTCTCCGCCTCTCTAGGAGCAGGGTAATTAGCTCATTTCCATTACTGAGTTAAGTGACTAATTGCACCCTTCTTAGCCCTCCTAGGAGGGTGGCTTGAGTCATCCTTCTAATTGGAGGGATTTCCTGGAGCATGGGAAGGATCCTTGGGTGCAGTGGGAACACGCGGCTTCCTCCTGCCACTCTGTCCTCTCTGCTGCTGGAGTCCACGTGACTTGTTCAAGAACACTTTGATCTCAAACAACTGCAACAAAAGCAAGTTGGTTGAGATGGCAAAGTATTGCTGGTGCTTTAAGTGTTGGGAAAATGTGTGCACAGTGTCTCTACGCTTTTCGTTTGTGTTTCAGAATTACTGAAGGCTTCGTTTCTCTGCCTTCTGCTACTGCTGATTTTCGGCTCACTGTTCCCACCATGCATAGGCATCTGTTGCTATAGACTTGCCTCTAAATGCTGCTGTTGCTGTGTCCCATAGGTTTTGGGGTTGGGACACAGGGCTGTTCCACTGGCCAAGTAGCTTGGATGGATGGACAGTAGCTTGGCCAGCCTGGGGCGTGCCTGCCAGGGAATTTGCTGGGATGGACTCTGCACATGCTCTGCCTGCCTCCGTTTCCACATAGGAAATGCCCGTGTTTCCTTCAGGTTTCTGCTCTAATGCAACCTCATCATGTCCGCCTTCCCTGGCACACCGTACCCTGTGCCTGGCACTCCCAATTCCATTTAGCCTCCTTAATGTCCCTCCACATTGAGTTTTTAGTGCCTGCGTGCCCCACTGGGGTGTAAAGCCCTGTGGGACGTTGCCTATATGTTCAGTCTGAGTCTCCAGATCCCGGAACAGGCCCAGCACCTGCTGGGCACCTGCGGACTGTTGCACGCATAGAACATGCTATTTCTGGTGCCTCCCTCCCTGGGCAGTCTGTCCTGGGGAGCAGCCCTCCCAAGACCCTGCACAAATGCACACAATGAGTGCACGTTTAATACAGGGATTCCAGCCCACGACTGTTTCACCCCAAGGGGACACTGGCAATGTCTGGAGATATCTGGGGCTGTTAAACAGCTCAGGTAGCAGGTGGGGTTTGCTGCACGTTTGGACGCTACTGGCATCCAGTGGGCAGAAACCAGCGAGGCTGCTCAGCATCTTACAGTGCCCAGGGTGGCACCCGCAGCAAAGAGCCGTCCTTCCGAATCGTCCATGGCATCGGAGTGGAGCCCTGGATCCCGTGGCCTGTTCTTGTCACTTTTGGATGTCTGCTGGTGGCAGACATTGCACAGGGAGGGGACGGGCCAGGCAAAAGCGCGAGGTCACGCTCTAGGGCGACGTTGCTTTTGTGTCTGCATTGTTGGGTGACCAGAGCAAAGACATGTGCTCTTTCTTTCTCTGCGCGACCCTGTGGCACCAGATCAAGGTGCTGATCAAGAATTACATCCAGAGGCAGCAGACCATCAACCTGGTGGTGGTCCCCTGTAACATGGACATCGCCACCACGGAGGCGCTGAGCATGGCTCAGGAGGTGGACCCCAGTGGGGACAGGACCATAGGTAAGAAGAAAGAACCAAGCTTCCAGGGGGCAGGCAGGGAGGGAGAGGCTCCTCCTATCTTTGGAAGGTTTCAGAAGGCGGAGTGACTGGAGACACCCTGAGCATCGGGCCATAGCCTTCCCTGTGGGATTCTCCACTGCCTCCCTCTCACATGCACGTAACCCCCCACCTAACCGCACAGCCAGCCCTGGGGCCTGGCCCGCCTGCCTCTCCCATCACGTTGCTCTCTGCCTCCCCCACTTTTCTGCTGTGTGGCTCGGCCATCCCAGCCCCTCTCGCCCATGCCTGGCCTGTTCCCTCTCCGTCCTCCCTGGGCCGGCTGCCTCCTTCCTTAGGGTCTCAGCCCACAGAGAGGCCCTCCCTGCCCGCCCAACCTCAAACTGCCCACGCACCTTTGCCCACGGCCTGTCTCCAGCACACCACTGAGTTTCAAAGAGAGTTATTCTTCTCCAGTTCTTGTATATTGCTATATTGATTTAAATGGAGAGAGAGTTTCAGGAATAGCATAGACCAGATATGCACACTTAACCACAGATTAAAACTAAGGACAAAATAGCAGAAAATGACATCCAGGTTTCCAACATTAAAAAAAAAAAAAATGCAGCCATTTGGCACTCCAGCAACACAAACGACATACAAGCACTCAGAACTCGAAGCTTTTGCAATGTGAGCAGGGAGGTGTTAGGGCGGAAGAGTGGGAGAGGGAGGCAGAGAAGAGAAGGTCAAAGGAGGTGCCCACAGGAGGGCCTGTGAGTGAGTCTGTGCGGGAGACACAAGAGAAGGGACACAGACCTGCCTAGGTGGGGAGGGAGGTGCTCTCGGAAACGTGGTGGGCAGAGCCAGCCCACTCTGATGACTCATGAGTCCTAATGCCGGCACCCCGAGGGCACCCAGAACATGGATTAAGGAAACCGCACACGAGACTGAATGCATGGAGTGAGAGGGTGAGCAGACGGGCCACTAGAAATGCCGATCGGAGGGTCGATGAGGGGTTGGTGAGCAGCTGTCGGACGCTGGGGGCTGCAGAAGACCTTGCTGGCCCACAGCCTGGCAGGAATCAGAGAGGTCTGAGTGGCGAACTGACCTTCCCATGGCCCTTCTTGAACCATCTCACAGGGGTTCTGACCAAACCTGATCTAGTGGACGGGGACGCCGAAAAGAGGGTTCTGGATGTGGTCCGGAACCTCACGCACCCTCTCAAGAAGGGCTACATGATCGTGAAGTGCCGGGGCCAGCGGGAAGTCACGGACAAGCTGAGCTTGGCAGAGGCAACCAAGAGAGAAATGATCTTCTTCCAAATGCACCCACATTACAGGTGAGACTCTTTAGCAAAGCCCTGGAATTGGCATCCACGAAAGCTGTCTCCACCCACCAGTGTGGGCCAAGATGATAACCGGACTGCACATAAAATTGCATCACATAGTGCAACCTAGCCTTGCCTTGTTTGGTGTTAAATGGATTGGCTTATTCAAACAAATTGAAACAAATGACCGTTTCTTGGATTCTAGCAGTGGTGTCCATTCGACACTGGAATGTGAGCTTACATAGAGCACAGAGCATGGCTGGTTTCCCAAAGTGTTTTCACTGGCTTTTCCACTGGAGTCCCACGAAATCTCAAAAGCTATGTGCGGCAGGTGAAGTTCTTCTCGTTTTTATAGATAGGAATGATGAGGTCAAATGGCGAATGGAAGCAGGGCTGGAAACAGATCTCCTCACTGCCGGATACCTGTGCCTACCACGGCGAGGGGCGCACGTCAAACCTACTTTGTGAACTCCCCTCCTTCCCGGGGCCTGCAAACCGAGTTTATTAAATATAAACGATCCTGCAGGGACCCTGCTGTTTGTAGGATGTTGGGGTTTCCCCCATCGGACTGGGTATTTCCCCCCCTTTGTTCTACTCAGGAAGTTGCTCCTGCTGAACGCTTCGGTATCAGGGTGATAAGATGGGGGGGTCACTCCTGCCTTAAGGGCAGACATAGTAGGAAAATGGTGGATTTGGGCAGAGCAGCTTTGGTACTCGCTAACGCTGTGGTCCTGCGACATCAGCCGCTACTTCACAGGGTGTGGTTGGGGTTAGGTAACACGACGCGCACCAAGGTTGGGATCAAATAACACGGCGTAGACCGATGGCCCCCGCTCGGCGAATCCCATCCTGGTTCCTTCTTTCCTCCTCTCTGCTCCTGCCCCAGGGAGCTGAGCTCGCCGCCCCCTTACGCAGCCCCGTGCTGGAGAGAGGCGCACGCAGGTCCCTGCTGAACGCACGCCTGCCCCGTGTCGTTTCAGAGCTCTGCTGGAGGAGGGGAAGGCCACGGTGCCCCGCCTGGCGGAGAGACTCACCGCCGAGCTCGTCGCCCACATCAAGGTGAGACGGCGTGGGGCGGGCTGCGCAAGTCACCGTCTTGGTCTGGAGTGGGCCAAGATGCCCCGATGGACGGTCCAAACAGGCACATTCTGGAGACTGGCTGGCTCACGGTCACGGGCTCACAGGGGACCTTCTGAAACCAGGAAGCGGCAACTGCACGATGGTGCAACACAGAGCTGGATCAGAAGGAATAAAACGACAGCGCCCGTTCAGCAACAGAGGGGAATGGCCGCTGAGTCAGCAATGTTTTCTTTCTCCAATAGGTCGTTAATACTTCACAGTAGAAAAGAACTTTCCCGGCCTCCAGCTTTAAAAAAAAAAAAAAATCAGTTTGTAAGAAATAAGTCAGTTTGCATTGATTCTCAAAAAAAGACAACTATAGACACAGTTCTCATGGCATCATCTGTTACATGAAAACTTCGGCTTAAGCGGTTACCGAGAAAGGTGATAGTCCAGTGCTTGCCTGAGCCTTCACAAATGAGTTTAAGCAACAGGAGAAGAGTTAGGTTTACCCTTAGAGCAGAGGCAATTCCAGGTCCTGGGACTTAGTCCATGTTAAATTGTGTGTCAGGCAAAAGCAGTGAATTCTTTGAGCCAGGAAGCTCATACTGAAAGAATATTTAGCTGGGAGGAGCCAGTGTTCTCAAATTCTAGCACACACAAGAATTACCAGGACATTTTGTTAAAACGCAGATTCCTGGGCCCCACGGTTTCTGACTTAGTAGGTGTAGGGTGGGGCTCATGGGTTTGCATTTCTAAGTTCTCAAGTGATCCTAGGGACATACTTGGAGGAGCCTCGAGTCTAGTGGAGCCCCCTGAGTTTGCAGAAGACGTTTCTGAAAGATGCATCCTGTCTAATTGAGGAAAACACCTTTTATGCAAAATATATATATATATATTTTTTTGCCATTTGATGACATTTTGGTAACATTTTTCTCAATAGTTATATGTTTTAATCTAAACTTTATACTATTTTAAATTCATTTTAAAAATTTAAATCAAGACTCAATTATGATAATGATAATTTGAAATGTCAGAAGTTAATACACTTCTGCCTGTAGGTACAAATTGTCCCTTCCAAAAAAGAGCGTCCGAGACCTTATTAATGTCTTGGTGTGACCCATCTTGCCTAGCCTTGGTGTACTGACTGACCTCCAGGCCACTTCTGACCCCCAGACCACCTCTGACCCTCAGACCACCTCTGACCCCCAGGCCACCACTGACCCCCAGTGCACTCCTCCACCCGGCTGGAGCATCACCTGCAGGGGCTGGGGAGAGGGTGGACAGGGTGCCATTCGACACTCTGCCACCAACTAGATCCACCTTGGTGCCAAATAACTGGATTCTCTGAGTCCACTCTGGCAAAAGGGGCAGAGAGAGCACTGCAGTGTGGGATTGAGTGAGATGTGGAGGGTGTCACCAACACTCAAGACTCGCCATTTTCCAGTTGTGACATGCAAATTGTCAAATTGTCTCCGTGACGGTTTTGTTCAGAAATCACTGCCCCTGCTGGAATATCGGCTCCGGGAGTGCCACCAGAGGGCAATGGAAGAGCTGCGCTGCTACGGGGCCGAGGTCCCCCAAGAGGACAGCAACAGGAAGTTCTTTCTCATTCAGGTGAGGGTTTCCACGGGACTCCATGGGACACTGCGTCCTTCCCTGGTGGCCTGCAGGTCCCTGGGGTGGTGACAGGAGCCCTGTCCCCCTGCCCCGCCTGGGAGACGAGGTGGGCGGGGTCTCCTTGCGGCCCTGGCCCCATCCCCCCACACACTGGCACAGGGCCCGGCCCTTCCATAGGATGGATTGCAGCACTGACGAATGCCTTGACATCATTTTCAGAAAATCAAGGTGTTCAATCAGGACATCGAGAAGCTGGTGGAAGGCGAAGAACCCGTGAGGGAGAACGAGACCCGCTTATACAACAGAGTCAGAGAGGAGTTTAAAAGCTGGGTGAACGCCCTCACGGCCAATACCCAGGAAGGTACATGGCGGGGCAGGGCTCCCCCAGAACCCTTGTCATTTCCACCAAGACCAGAGGCTACTCCCAGCACAGACAGAGTGTGCGGAGAGCTGGACGTCCCCACACCGGGGACCAGGGGCCCTCGGTCATCGGCAACGGCTTCCCAACTGCAGAGACCCTTCCAGAAGACGAGGTTGCCCTCGCCAGCTCTACAGAAGGCAGCTCCCCAGCCTCCGACTTCCCACTTGCTCCTTGGTTCTGAGGCTGAATAGCATTTAATGCCCATCTGAGAAAGTCCAGAGCACCCCTGGCCGGCCATCCCCGAGGGGAGGCTGCACCTGCGGCAGGGGTCCAGGTGACCCAGAGCCAGCCCCCGGGAAAGCCATCACACTGCTGCTGTGTGGAGCGGTTGATCGCAACCTGCCAATTACAATCCACCCATTACAAACACTGAACTTCTCTGCCGGGGTGATGATTCTCAATCGAAACGCATTTTCATAGGATAAAAGTTTTGTTTCCCAAAAGTCAGTATGTCTTGAACTGCCCTTACCAGACCAGGAATATTTTGTTTTTTCATTATGAACAAAACTCCGTGTTGAAACACCGCTTTAGGGTACATTTGAGAGCAAGAGTTTAAAAAACTCTTCCTACTTTTAAGACGTCTATGGAGTTATTAGAATTAACTGTGGTGATCTGTTACATGTTGCAGTTAAAACTATTATTCATGAGGAAGTCACAAAATACGAAAAGCAGTATCGTGGCAAGGAGCTTCTTGGATTCATCAACTACAAGACGTTTGAGACCATCGTGCATGGGTACATCCAGCAGCTGGAGCAGCCCGCACTGGACATGCTCCAGAGAGTGGTCGGTGAGGATCTCTCTAACAGCCCCGCTGGTAACTTGCAGAGAGAGACGCTGGTGCCTTGGAGGGAGACACTGGGGTGTGTTGAACACAGCGTCTTCTCTGGCACGCTGGGCTGCTACGCCAGGAGCTGGTCAGAACTGCAGATACTGACCTTCGGGATGAGAACTTGTACGGAGCGAGGTCTCCAGGTGGTTTGAAAGCACGTTTAAGTTTGGGAAGGCTGCACTGGAGTGCTAGCCCGCCCTTCGGACACGGGAGGGAGGGAGGGAGGGAGGATGGGTTCTTCCGTCTTTGGGGTGGGGGCGGAGAGCGCAGCCCGTGGGGCCTCACCTATAGCACACGTAGCCCCGGACACGGCCACTCGAGGGACGGTCAGATGCTAACCGCAGAGAGAACACGCATCCCAAGAAAGGGTGGGAAGTGCACAGGAGCTGGCCAAGGTGGCTGGGGCTGGGCTGCCGCTCTGCCCGGGATTCTGTGCCACCCTCTCGCTCTGCAGGTCTGGGGAGCTCAGCCCTGGGGTGCGGTCACAAGTCATCCTGCCTGTGTCTTTAACCGATTTTTTTCCTGCTTGCATTTTACTGAGGTTTTGTTCTTTTTTTGTTTCTGGTCAGAAATTGTCCGCGAAGCTTTCATGGACAGGGCCAAGAAACATTTTATCGAGCTAACCAACCTTCGACAAGTAGTCCAGGTAAGTGGCCCGTTCTCTTGCTCGCCACCTGGGCCACTGGCTGCGCTGTCTGGGTCTGACCTTTGAAAGCAGCTGGCTATTTACTGTGGCCCGGGGCTGCAAGGCCGGGGGGAAGGGGCAGCCCAGCCGAGCTGGAGGCTCCAGGAACATGTTGGCTTCTGCTCAGGAGCGGTCTTCACTCCCAGGAGAAATGAAACAAGGCACGTGACCCCGCCGTCTGTCCCTCGTGACCTTACGCAGCATGGCAGGTCGTGGGCGAGGCTTGGGACTGGCTGGTAGTCCAGAGCATCTTCAAGATAAAGGACAGCATTGTCTCCTAGTCCTGCTCCAAAATTTGTATGAGTTTGATTTAGGAATATCGTCAGGGTTCCGTGGGTCTCCACTTAGCAACTCGGCCCTGAACCACCTCTCAGCAAAGGCAAGGGGGGCTGGGCCCACACCCTCCTGAGCACGTGAGAGCCTGCGGGTCCTGCCACTTCCCCGTCACCAATCTTGAGAAGTGAGGCACAGGCCACACTTCTGCCCTCAGATGTCAGACCTGTGAGAGGGTCTCTTGTCCACTGTAGCCACAGACACTCAAAAAAGCCCAGAAGATCCAGGCGCGGTGGCTCACACCTGTAATCCTAGCACTCTGGGAGGCGGAGGCAGGCGGATCGCTCAAGGTCAGGAGTTCAAAACCAGCCCGAGCAAGAGTGAGAGCCTGCCTGTCTCTACTAAAAATAGAAAGAAATTAATTGGTCAACTGAAAATATATAGAAAAAATTAGCCGGGCATGGTGGTGCATGTCTGTAGTCCCAGCTACTCGGGAGACTGAGGCAGGAGGATGGCTTGAGCCCAGGAGTTTGAGGTTGCTGTGAGCTAGGCTGACGCCACGTCACTCTAGCCCAGGCAAGAGAGTGAGACTCTCACTCAAAAAAAAAAAAAAAAAAACAGAAGAGAAATGAGCACCTGTGAGGCTTCACCTGTGAAACTCTCTCTCTCTCTCTCAAAACATCGCCTCTGCCTTTGGTTTTTAAAAAGTCAGTTTGAAGTTCAACGCCAGAACATGACCGTCCTGGTTCAAGCTGCTATTACAAAGTGCCACAGACTGGGTGGCTCATCCTCAACAAGAATTTATTTCCCATTGTCCCGGAAGCTCGAAGTCTGAGGTCGGGGAGCTGGCGAGGCCGGGGCTCTGGTGAGGGCTCCCTTCCGGGCTGCAGGTGGTCACGGCCTTCTCGCGAGTCCTCACACGGCTGAGAGAGAGCAGGAGAGCTTGCAGGGGCCTCCTCCGTAAGGGGCTCCTCCTGTTCACGGCCTGTGACCTCATCGCCTCCCAAAGGCCACACCTCCTAATACCATCGCCTTGGGGGAGAGATGTCAACATAGGAGTTTCGGGGTCACACAAACATCCAGTCCCTGGTGGTGGCTTCTCCGCTGTGTCATCCCCTCCTTTCCCAGAACGCCCTGGGCTGCAGGAGTCTCGGGGGTTCCGGGCGGCAACCCACCAGGCTCTCGTCCTACTGTGCACATCCACGCTAGGGTCCCTCTCCAGGGCCTGGATCCGAGCAGAGTCAGCTCACGACAGTGACTGACACCCCCGTGAAAACGCGGAGCAGATCTGATCCAGGGAGCAAACGGCTGGTGGTGTGGGAGGGGTCGGTGGGGCAGAGAGAAAGAAAACGCAAGAGAGAAGGCAGATGGGCAACATTTGGGGGGGGGAGGGGGTGGTGAGGTAGAACCTTCTGGAAATCACCATTAAATGTCAAGGCCTACTTTGACCCTGGAGTATTTCTAATTCTGGGGTCAACAGAGCAGTGCTTTCTCAATTGTTTAAGCAAAGGGAAAAAGAAAAAGACGTAACCCGTTTGTCTTTCTTATCTAACCAGTACCACATTGACGAAACCAGAAGGAAGCAGGCAGAAAAGGCAGAAAAGATGATCCTGCTTCAGTTCAAAATGGAGCAGCTGGTTTTTTGCCAAGATCAGATTTACGGCGTGGTTCTGAAGAAAGCCCGGGAAGAGGATCTCCATCCGCTGGAGAATGGGCCGGAGGATATTCAGCTGGATACGATGGCGTCAAACAGCCAGTGCGCGACTTCCGCCATCACGGAAATAGGTGTCCACCTGAACGCGTACTTCTTGGTGAGCACCAGGGGCGCGGGCCGGAGCTCTCTGGCGCCAGCAGAGTGGAGGTCGGGCTCTTCTGACCGGACGGCCCTCAGGGGGGGAAGAAGGCAGGGACCACTGCGGTGCATTAAGCCCTTTTGTGCTGTGATAAACTGCTCATACGTTATCTCATTTACCATTTCCCAAGAACCTCATGAGGGCACTTTTAACTCATCTGCCCCAAATCAATTTTTTAATGTGCCAGAGCTTGTACTCAAAATTAATTCAGAACCCAAATTCCTTTATATTTTGTATGCAATGCATGAAGTACAAGACCACTCTCATCAGAATGCAGCAAAATGCAGTGAGCACTAAGGATGCTGGCGAGAACGTAGCTTTCCCACGTGGGCGCGGGCAGGTAGCTCTTAGCGCGCCCCGAACTTGCCAGCTCCACCACGCACAAATGAAATCTCCTTCCCTTGGATTTTGTGACCCAGTCAACTTTCTCACCTGCCATTCAATGTGCAGGTATCGGGGTGCAGAGAGAGGGGAATAGTTTTTTTTTTTTTTTTTTTTTTTTGAGACACAGTCTCGCTTTGTTGCCCAGGCTAGAGTGAGTGCCATGGCATCAGCCTCGCTCACAGCAACCTCAAACTCCTGGGCTCAAGCAATCCTCCTGCCTCAGCCTCCCCAGTAGCTGGGATTACAGGCATGCGCCACCATGCCCAGCTAATTTTTTCTATATATATTAGTTGGCCAATTAATTTCTTTCTATTTATAGTAGAGACAGGGTCTCGCTCTTGCTCAGGCTGGTTTCGAACTCCTGACCTCGAGCAATCCGCCCACTTCGGCCTCCCAGAGTGCTAGGATTACAGGCGTGAGCCATGCACCTGGCCGGGAATTGCTTTTAAATTACAAAGAAGCCCGACTCCTGAAGTCCTTTCTCAAGCAAAATAGAGAGTGGAGTTGCCCAGCCTCAGGGCGGTGGGCTGCCAGGCAGACTGGCCACCCAGGAAGGCAGGAAGGAGCAAGGGTGTGAGGTGGTCCCCACCTTCTCTCAGGAGGCAGTCAGGGGAACCCAGGGCCAGCAGGTCTCTCCAGAGGGAGGGGAGCTCCTAGGACGCCCATTGGAGGTGGGGGGCTTGCTAGCCTGTGATGGGGGGGGTTTCTTAGTGCCCAGGGGGATGCCTGGGAGTAAAGAGGGTGTGGCCAGGTCGGAGCCTTCATGGGGTTTGATCCCACTGGCGCGGACTGGGCGGGGCCGTGGCTTAGCAAGGCAACCCTTGTGCGTGCAAGAACACCAAGGCTTCCCTCTGCAAGCACAGGCCTTGGGCGGAGACGCCGCCAGTGAACCTTTCTTATTCCTTCTTCCAGGAAACCAGCAAGCGTCTCGCAAACCAGATCCCATTCATAATTCAGTATTTCATGCTCCGAGAGAATAGTGACTGGTTGCAGGAAAACATAATGCAAATAATACAGGAAAAAGAAAACTATTCCTGGTATCTTCAGGAACAGAGTGAGACCGCCATGAAGAGAAAATTCCTCAAGGATAGACTCCACCGGCTCACTAAGGCGCGGCAGGGACTCTACAAATTCACCACGGAACAGTGCCAGTGAAGGGCCGCAGTGCTTGTGGCTGTTTCCTTACGTGCATTCGTCCATTGCGAGAGGGAGTGGTGGAGAATGTTGCTCCTGCTTTGGGGCCAGCCTCGTGTGCTGCTGGCTGTGTCTGTCTTTGCTGTGCTACCCTCCGCACCAGAGCTGATAGCTGGGTCCCCCTGGGCTTAGCTGTCACCTCCACCAAGGTCTTCTCTGACCTCCACGGAGAGGCGGCTCTCGGGTCTTGGCCCCACGGCACACAGCCACAGCATCAGATACTGCTGCCATGCTTCGCTAGTTTGTGCTTGTGCCCCACCCCCTCGTTAGATTATGAGACCCCAGAGGGGAAAGGTCTGTATCATATTCTCCTCTTGTATTTCCAGCATTGTGCACAGCACCTAGCACATGGTAACCGCGTCCTAAGTGATAGCTCACGGAACACAGGAGTACTGTGGAGTGACGGAGATGCCTGAGGCTATGGCTTAAGTCCAGGCCCTGGTCACCCAGGGTCCCTCAGCTGGTCGCTTTCAGATACATCTGGCCATGCCACCTGCTTCCCATCACTCGCTGAAATCGTGATTACCAGTCCCTGCCCCCTGCAGAAATGAGCCCGAGCGACACTGTTTTCCCCAGTTGCTTCCGCACAGCAATGAGCTTCCATTGCTTCCTTTAAGTCTTGAAGAGGAATTTAATAAGCAGAAACTTAAAAAAAGAAAAAAAAAAATATATATATATAGCGCTTCACACCCGTAATCATGTCTAGATTTGAGAACTGTGGGTGATTTTATTTTCTTCTCCATGCTTTCCTGTATGTTCCAAACAATGGGACTGGATCCCTTAATAAAAAGACAGTAGGATAAATGTCATGATTTGTTTGTTTCTAAACCCAAGTTTGGGATGGAAGGAGTGCCTCAGAAACATTCAGCTTTGGCCAGGGGTACAGACAGGGAGGATACACATGAAATCTTTTCTTCAATTGCTGTGAAAGAAGTTGGAGAAGAAAGTTCAAGTCACGATCACAGCTTGACTCTCCTCCCTCAAGAAGTCTCTTGCAGATCGGACTAAAATACCGGTGTGTTAGTCTGCACGCGCCGCCAGAGCAAATGTCGCAGCCTGGGTGGTTTAAACTACAGAAATTCATTTCCCCACATTTCGGAGGCTGGAAGTCTGAGATCAAGCAAGGTGTTGCTGGTTCGGTTTCTTCTAAGGCTTTCAGACGGCCACCTTGTTACATGTCTTCACTTGGTCTCTTATAAAGACACTAGTCCTATTGGATTAGGGCCCCACTCCTATGACTTCATTTAACCTTGACCTCTTTACAGACCCTATGTCCAAATGCAGTCACACTGGAGGGTTAGGGCTCCAACATTTGAATGGGGGCAGGGGAGGAGGGGACATAGTTCAGCCCATAACATCTAGTAAGTGTTAGGTCCGGAGCCAAGAGAGAGATACAGGCAGCCTCGTGTGTAGCAAAAAGCTGTTTACTTTGAGCATCTGGGAGCAGACGGGTAGAGGCCAAAAGAGCATCCACCAAGAGGGAGGGGAATGCCTTGGGTTTTACAGAAGGTTTTTCTGGGGAGAGTGAGTAACTAGGCCAGAACAGCCACTGCAATAAATTTTTTTCAAACAACCACTTTGTGGGACCCCTGAGTCCATCTCATCCTGCAGGGATAGGAAATAGCCTCGTCCTTCTTGGGGGGTACAGTAATGTCATCATCGCTGCACCTGTCTGTGGTTGGAGTTAGGCTTACACCTCCGGACTCCAGACTTCATGATCACTATCTAAGTTTTCCATTAAATGCATTTCGTCCTATACACACTTTCTTGGTTCCCACCTGGAACAAACCCAACAGTGAGAAAATAAGCACACACACTCTGAACACAAAACTTGACCAACAGTTTGGAGGGTTCATTTCTAATTTGAAAGCCAGCAGGTCTGGACTGAAACAATCCAAATGATTGTGGAAAGAGTGACACTGATTTACTGTTTCCTATCCACCCAGCATACAGAATCCAGGGGTGGGGGGTTCTGTTATCTATTGCTGTGTAATAAGAACCCCAGAATTTAGTGGTTTAAAACAACATCGATGTGTTCTTTCTTTGGATTCTGCGAGAAGCCTGGGTGGTTCCTGGGCTGGTCTTGCCTGGGCTCACCGGTGGGTCTCAGTCACATGAAGGCCAGACAGGGCTGGAAGGTCCAAGATCTCACTCACTCCCCAAGCTACATTTTTATAAGGGACACTTGGGTTCCATTAGCACTGATTTTCGAAATTAAGAACAATGGAGAAAAGCCGCCTGGCCGCCTGCATCTGCAGCACCTCTTACTGTGGCTGCTTGGAAGCCCGCTGGGTGGACCAGGATAAACGTGGCGGACACTCACCCGTATTGAGTATGAGGGGACCATCTGAAATAGCGCACCTGCCCGTAAATCCCCCTCCCTGCCCAGAGGGGCTGGAGAGGAACAGCAGAGGCCCAGCCCCAAACGCTTCTTGCGTGGGCTAGGTTAGGAGAGGGTGTTGGCACTTGCAGGCGCTGGCGTTTGAGGTGGAAAAAGTGAGAACAGAGGAGGTGGGCCACAGTCCGGAACAGTTCCGGAAAGGCCGCCCTGGGAGCGAGAGGGGGCCCTTCTTGGAACTATTCTCCCTCAGCCGTGAGCCCCCAAGCATGCCCTGGGTGCCTAGCTCACTCCCCACACTGTGAGGTACAGAAATCTACAGCACAAAGCTGAGCTTTGCTGTCCCCACGTCTGTCCGGGATGCAAACAAGGACCAAGGAAAGCGCAAACGCGCAATGCTTTTCCCGTTTCTCCTCCGTATCAGGAAATTGAAAATGAAGTTTTGAAGGGGGCTGTTCACCTTGTCCATGAATCCTTTCCTGAACACTTTCCTTGTGGCCCACTCCTCCCCCTCCCCCAAGGCTCCCTGGAACCCCCTGCCCCGGCCCTGTGGGGCTCTAGAGCAGCACTTTGCTCTTACCTGCGCCCCACCTGTCTGCTTAGGGGCAGTGGCTTGGTTGCATTGTCGTGTTCATTTGTATGTCCCAAGCACCCAGCATAGCATCTGGGTCCATAAATGTCTCCGGAGGCAGGATGACAGGGAGGGAGGGAGAGAGGGAAAATGCTTTTACTCAGTTTACCCCTCTTATATAACAGGATTTACCACAATATAATATTTCTTTTCTTTTTGTGAATGCCAGTGGACAGGGGGCCCCGTCTGGGAAAAATGAGTTTGGAGAGTGCAGGGACCTTTCCCAGTACTGTCAACAGCAGTGTCGTGGGTCGGGCCACGGGCACACCAAGCCGGGCCCCCTGCTCCCCAGAGCCCCTCCAGCCCAGCAGGATTCCAGCATCTGTCCCCTCCTGGCAGGGCTCTGCCATAGGCCCCCGCCGACAAGAAAGCCAAGCGCCGGGCCTGACCCTGAGGGCCCACAGCCAGGCCAGATGCGGCCTTCTCTCGGGCCGCTCGCAGACGACACGCCACGGGAACTCCACGGAGTGCAGGTTCAGAAACAGGGGTGCCCGGGCGGCCCCACGCCCTGCGTTTCCAACAAGCCCCCAGGTAAGGCCAATGCTGCCGGTCCAGGGGCCACGCGTTGAGATGCACGGGTCTATGTCACCGCACAGAAGGGACACAAAACACAGGAAAACGAACCCAGTCCCTCTGCCCTGGGGCCCCAAGCCGGACACGGGGCTATTGGGGGGGCTCGTTACCGGGGAGGTGTTTATGCGGCTGCTCCCAGACCGCCAGCACCCACCTCCGCGGGGACCCGCAGAACCAAGTCGCCGCCAAGCAGCGAAGCGGGCAGAAAGAGCACAGCGACCAGCGGCCCGCTCGCCCCTAGGGTGCCTGGCGCTGCCCCCGCCCCCTCCCGGTACCGCCCCTCCCCCTCCCGGTACCGCCCCTGTTTACCCTGGCACCGCCCCTACTTTTCCCAGCACCGCCCCTCCTACGGACACGGCCCCCCTTCTCCTGTCCCCGCCCCTCCCCCGTACCGCCCCTCCCCCTCCCGGTACCGCCCCTGTTTACCCTGGCACCGCCCCTCCTTTTCCCAGCACCGCCCCCTTCTCCTGTCCCCGCCCCCTCACGGTACCGCCCTCCCCCTCCCAGCACCGCCCCTCCTCCCGACACCGCCCCCCTCCTCCTGTCCCCGCCCCTCCTCCTGTGGCCTCCCACTCTTTTCAGCGGACTCCCCCCTACACCCCCGTCCCTGACTTTCATTTCTATGAACCACGGAGTAGAAATGAAACCGAAACCGAACCTGAGTCCGCTGGGCAATTCGCCATGGGGGCCGGGGAGTGGCTCAGAGTCACCCGGGTCGCGCCCGCAGGGCCAGACCGGCCTCCACCCGGCCTTCGTTCACGCTGGAGGCGCTGACCACGCACGGCCCGGACCCCGGGCGCACGGCGGGCAGCACGGACCTCGTGCCCCCGGCCGGCCGGTGCGCAGCCCGCAGGTGGCGGCGAGGCGGTGTGCGAAGGCCACGTGCGATCAGGGGCGTGCGGGACAGGTGTGGCCGGCTCCGGGAAGAGAGCTGCCAGCCTGGAAGAGAAGGTGCTGGAGCCTAGCGCAGAGCCCAGGAGAAGGAGCCCCTGAGCGGGGACGTTCGTGTCATGAGGAGGGTATTTCAGTGAAGCCCTGAACACCAGCTGCGCAGTTTGGCATTGTGCTCCGTGCCTCAGTGGGGCGCCGGGCAGCATTGTGACCAGGGCTGTCAGCTTCCTAGGAATCTGCGGAAATGCACCTGCTCTGAGGCGGGGAGCCCACGCCACACAGGGGCAGGCGGCTTCCCACTGACACCAGCTGGGCTCTCCCTCCCTGGCCAGGCCCTGCAGGCGGGGCAAGGTCCAGGGACACCTGGAGCCCCCTGGGGAACCCACGACTGCACAGGCAGTGGGATTGAGGGCCAGTGGGAATGTTGGGCCTCTATGATGCTTCCCCTATGGATGCTGTGTTTTTGCACCATGAAAGAAAGCAAAATTCACGACCCCTCAATTAATTGTGCCAAGGGAAGGTTAGGCCCTTCAGACTCACTCAGCAGCGCCGATGTTTTTTCTGCATGGTGCCTCGCCTGACCTTTTGTATTAAGACTGTCAGTGGAAAGGAACTCAAACTCTGTAAAGTAATTTAAAGAGGTTTATTCTGAGCCGAACATGTGCCACCATGGCCCAGAGAGCCACGCACAAGAATCCTTGAGCAAGTGGTCTCACCGTGGCTGGGTTACAGTTTGGTTTTATACACTTCAGGGAGACAGGGGTTACATGTGAAGTCATTAATCAATACATGGAAGATGTACGTTGGTTTGCCCCCAAAAGGCAGGACCTTTCGAAACAGTGCACTACAGATGATAGGCGGTTTTAAAGATTCTTTGAGTTGTAATTGGTTAAAGAAATGAAGCTTTGTCTAAGGGCTTGGAGTGTTTTAAGTTAAGAAAGTGTCAGAGACAAGCCACCGGACATAGACTGGACACATACCCAGACTCGCGTGATCTGTTAAGAAAACTGATGAGCTGCAGGTGTGGTCTGAGCTTGTCTTGCATGGCCTGAGGCCTGTTAATGAACGGCAAAGCGCATCTCCAGGAAGGGAAGGGGGCACGAGGAGGCATGTCCGACCTCCCTTCTCATAGCCAGCAGCTCAGCTTTAGGGCATGTCTGGGGTCCCCTTGGCCAAGAGGACGTCCCTTCAGTCACCTGGAGGGGGGTCTTAAGATTTTATTTTAATTCATAAGATGTTACACATTAATTAGGCCACCCATTCCTCTCTTGGACATAGACCTTTGATGCCCGAGGTGGAGAGCCCTGTGACTGTCATCTCTCTACAGTGTAATGTTAAGCAACCCCTTGGCATAGGGAACTGTAACCAGTCAGATGTCTGCAAACGACCCTTTAGCCTCCCATGCAGAATGCTGGGATGCTGCTCCCTTATTCGCCTGTATAGACGACCCCTACTCTGACCCCCTTTTTTGGAGTCCGTGTTTCCAGGCGGTCATCCTGAAACTGTGAGCTTGTATAAACTCTCGTTTAACTAAATCCTGACCGCTCTGATTACTTTAGGTTCGGCAGCCCAGTACATTTTACTGGAGGGAGGAAAACACTAAGAGGGCAGGACCGAGGCTGTGCCGTAGTGGGGGCCCCAGAGACGGAGATAGCTGGTGAGAAATAAAAATAACTTCCTAAGCCCCCTACCAACTGAACCGATCCCCTCTTGGCCAAGGGGACCCCGGATAAACCTTCAAACTGAAATTTGGGCCGTGACAGGATGGGAAGTGGGACGTGCCTTGTTATACCCCCTCCCTTGCTAACGGCCACCATCAGGCTTTCTGTCCTAGTGGGTTAAACAGAATAGGACCTTTGGAAAGACTTGCTCCGCTGCTGGCTTCTACCAATCTAGTAACAGCTCCTCCTTTTTTCCAGTTTCGACACAACTGACCAGCACCCCTTGCTGCTGAGACCACTGGCCACGGAGTGGCTCTGGCCAGGCTCTGGAGGCTGTGCACAGAGGGCCTCTGCTTCACCTCTGGCTGTCAGAGGGCCGAAAACGCCACCCTTGGACCATGCTAATGCCGCCACTTTCTGAACATGGGTCCAACAAAATGGCATGGAGCTCAATTGCACGTGCACATGTTTCTCCTTTCATGAACATCCCTGGCTCCTCCTATAGCTTGTTAAATGCGTGCACTCAGCCACCCGGCTCAGCATAAATTCCTGTTCCTGTTGCCCCTCCCTCCAAGTAGCTCTCAGCTCCTGCCCCAGGCTCTGCTTCCCAGATGGTCAGAATGGCCACCTGTAAGCTGCAACCCTTAATGAGAAATAAAGCTGTCCTTTCCAAATATATGAGCCTGTCATTCTTCAGTTGACGCTGAGCACGTCAATCCAATGAAATGCAGCTCACACGTAACTGGGAGGCAGGCGCTGGGAAAATGCAAGCTTGATAAGACTTCCTTGCCCTGCCCTCGTGGTGGTGACAGCCCCATCAAGGAAGTGGCCGCATCCACCCTCTCCAGAGCATTCCCCAGGGAGGCAAGAGCATCTTAATCTGAGCTAAATTTGGTTTCACCTGGGCTCTCCCTGACCAGGACCTAAGGCTGGGGCAGGTTCTGGGCCTTGGGGCTGGTTAGGGGTGACCCTTCCTAATCACAGGAGTCTCTGGGGGCCTCAGGGGCTCTGAGCTGTGCTAAGGAGGATGGAGTCGGGGTGACAGGCGCCCCTAAAGGGAAATGCCATTCCCCACGCACAGGCTGTCAGCCCCAGGAATGGGAGGAAGGGCCACCCCTGCATCCGCTTGACCTCACCTCCCTCTCCCCCCAATTCCATCCTGGGGAAATCAGGTGAGCCAAACTCCAGGTAGGCCTTGGAGTGCCCAAAGCAAATGGGAAAGCAGGAAGACTCTGGGGGTGCGCACGCGGTGGGGGTGCGCACGCGGTGGGGGTGAGGGCGAGAGGGAACTGCAGCCATCAGCGCCCAGCGACTGGGGATCTCCGCTGGGGCCTGAGCATCCCAGGGACCCATCGCGGGAACTGAAGACGCCAACCGCCACCGCATCTGCCCAGGAGACCGGCTGCAGCCCAGGCTTGGATGACTCAGGCCCTAGAGCAAGAGCCCCGGCCGGCGCGCCGGAATCCTGGAAAGGGCACACTCGGGCCGCGGCCCCGCCACAGCTTCCGATTCGGCGGGTCTGCGTCGGCCTGAGAATCTGTATTTCTCACCAGCGCCCACGCGGACCCCAGGCCGGCTAGGTTTCGTTTCCCCCGCGCGGCCGCCGGCCCCTGCCCGGCCGGGAGTTTCGTTTCCCCGCAGCCGGGGGCGGGGCCCCGCGCCCCTTAAAGCGGCCGAGCGCGCTGCTGCGCCACATCTGCGCTGCACGGGGACCGGTGAGTGTCGCGCCGAGCTCCGCACCCCGGGCCGGCGAGGGGAGCTTTCGCGGCCCAGACGAGCGCTCCGGGGCGGGGGCACTGCAGGGGCCCGTTCTCGGCCGCTAGTAATAATAACAACAACGACACGGGCGATGATGGGCGAGCTCAGGCCACGCTCGCTCCATCCTAGCTCCGACCGACCAGCGGCCGCGAGGCTCCTGGATGGCCCATGGAAAGCAGGCCCCTGACGGGCGGCTTTCCCTAGAGCCGGGCTAGGTGGAGGGGACCGGGCGGGCGTCTCCCGGGGACTCCGCGTAGGCAGGGCTGGGAAAGTTGCAGGCACTGCTGCGTGGGGCCGCGAACCCACCTGTCAGCGGATTTAAATTTTCTGCTACGGAGTGCAAACCGCCTGAGTCCAAGTGCAGGCAGTCGCCTGGAAGGGCAGATTCCGGGAGTCGCCATCGATCCTGAGTGAGGAGGTCCCAGTCCCTGGAAGAAGGGACGGTGGGCAGAGACTGGGCCCGATCAGGAAGCTGAGCGCCCTGGGGTTTGGGGGGGGGTGACGCCCGGACTTCATGGTCCGGGTGGGCAGCGCGGAGGGGGTAGGGAGAGAGAGGGTGGTCCTAGGGCGACAGAACCCGCACCTGCAGATCTGCCCCTCCCCCCACCTGCTCCCTAGGGGGTGACTGCTCAGACCTGCCCCTGCACCTCCCCACAAGGGGTGACCGCTGAGCCCTGATTAAGGGATGGTCAGAATTACTTGGTCCAATTTTAAATGAAGATTTTAATCGGAAGCAGGGTCCAAAGATTCTCACCCCCAGATGTCAGTCCCAGAGGGCTCCTAAAATGTCTAACAGTGTCATCTTTCAGCTTCGGACCTCGCAACCGTGGGGGTGCACACATTATTCTCTTCCTGGCCCTCTGCTGCCACATCCGGAGGCCTGGCTCAGCTAGGTTTGCTAGGTAGCAATGCATTTGGTCCAAAGTGCAAGCTCTTCCCCCTTTTATTCACAAAAAATGTAAGTGCCCGCGGGCTTCTGAGGGAAAAACACTTTGAGAAGAAAAAAACTGAATGTTAAGTCCTGCAAGAGTTATTTTCAAAACTGGACTGAATTGTGTCGGAAAGTTGCAGACTCTTGTACCTTAGGCATTTTCTCAGATATGCCCGGTGGGTGGTCCTTATTAGGGGTTCTGGGGCTGGAAGGGGGCTGAATCCTACCTCCTATCCCCTCTCCTCTGCTGGGTCTCAGCAGAGAAATCTTCCCCACAAGGACAGGACAACTCCCTGGACAACCCTTGATGTTGTCCCCCACCCCCACCCCACTGCAGGAATTCTGTGGCCAACACTGCAGTAGGCTGGGTCTGGAAGCAGCAGGAAAACTCCGGATCCTTTAAGTCTGGAGTGGAGGGGCAGCCATTGCACCTCCCCGCCCTGCCCCCTCACCCCGCCAGCAGGGATGCCCCCCTGTCCTGGACAGGAATGGAAGGAGCTTCCTAGACCCTGGCAGCTACTCCCCTCCCTAACCCTAACCTTAGGATGAGAGAAGAGCCTGGGACATGGGACATGACCCCACCATGCCCAACTCACATCTCAGACTCCAACCAGTGGGGGCGTGCAGTAGTGAGAGGATGGGGGACTGGAAAGCAGAGAGGTGGGAGGTGTGCTGGATTCCCAGCAGCCCCCTCTGCAAACATCAGGTGCAGGTGAGACGCTTTAGGAATGATTTGGGGCTGAGAGGTAGAGGGCACCACCTCTAGATTCTCCCAAGGCCAGAACTGGTGAATGCACCTGGATGCTGAGTGTCATTGATAAGTAAGAGACCGCCTTGAACTATTGAGATTGCCCTGCTGCCGAAACCCAAACTGATCGTCAAAGCCGATCCAAGGAAGAAACAAACATTTATGGTTTACAGACAAAACCCATGAGGTTTAGCTTTCAGGGAATCTCATTTGTGGAACAAAGAGGGGAGGGAATAGACTCACAAAGTCCTGTTTCTACCGACCAAGTCAAACCCATGATCATGGGGTACAAGTTCTGGGGACCAAAGGTGCCCCTTGAATGGGTACAGAAAAGCCAACTGAGGCAGCTATGGCCCAGAACATTGGCACTCCAGAGAGGCAGATGGAGCGGGGTCTCCGGCATGGAACTCAGGACACCCTGGGCACCTGAGGTCTTTCCAAAGGCGTGGAGAGTTTTAGGGCATGCATTTCCAGATTGCTGAACTCCATAAGTACCCTTTAAAATTGGTCACCTTTTATAATCACCACCTTCCCACCTTACAAAAAGAATACATACCTCTCTCCCTTTCCAAATTGAACAAGGGTACAACTGTGCCTGCCCTGGAAGCGTATAAACCTGGGGCCGGGAAAGTGCAATTTACATGTTGGTTCCCGGGACTTGTTGTTTAGCCGAGGCACCGTGAACCAGCGGCAGGGTTCCCAGACCTTCCGGATTCACGCATGTTTGTGTTAAGCACAGCGTGACAGCAGAATCGGGGCGTTGGCTCAGGTTAGGATGTCCTGAATCTAGACATGTTACAGACCAGGGTGACAGGTGGGGTTGATGAGGGGTTTTGTTTTAACAACCTGTCCCTTGAAGCCCACCAGGATTGACAAAGATTGCATGGCTCTCCGGGGAGGGTCCCTAGAGAATCACAGAGAAAACATCAGTACAGATTGTTGATGCAGGCAGCAAATTTGCAGCAAGGCGCGGTGCCTTATTCACCCATGTTAGAATTAAAATAGTCAAGATATGTAAAAAAGATTCTGGGAAATTGGAATCTGCTTCCAAGCACACCCCTCTGCGCCTGCACCATCTCAGCAACGGGGCCGGCCGTGGCGAGGGCTCTCCCCGTTTCACCAGGTTTGAGTCTCACTTGTACACTTCGCTTGGTTTCAGGGAAGTGCAGGACACCGGCTCCCCGTTTCCACCCAACTGTTGACATTACCCCTTCAAAAAAGGGAGCACATATTGGAGGTAAGTTGGTGCTTTGTGTTTTTTTATAACATTTATGCTGATCCATAGGAGGAAAATTTTCATTTACTTTTTTAATCCAAGATTATTAGATGCTATAAAATTTAATATTCAGAGACTATGGGCCTGGAACATTTTAAGAATGAATTTAACATGTATGTATGTATTTGTGATGCAGACAAGTATAAGATGGTCAGTTAAGTGCTTTCAAGAATAAAATGAATGACATTAAGATATACTTACGTGGAGGAAATGGGATGAAAATTTGAACTCAGCGATCAAAAGGAACAACACAGAATACTTAGAGTTCATACACATTTTTAGGCTCAAGGTCTGGGTATCAAATCGCCATAATATTTAGATTCCCTTGTTTACACTGGAAAGAGTTCTACAACAACTTTATTTTTGAATGTAAATTTTTGAAAGGGATCAGAAATTGTATCCTTTGCAACTATTAAAATTTATAGAGAAAAAAATCTCGATGTTCAACTTAAAATGTTGACAGCAGATACCTAGTTTTAAAAAAATCTTTCAAAGTACGGAGGCATATTCTTGAGGAGCCTTGAGCTGGGGTGCAGAGTTTGTCTCCGTCTGTTTCTGTTCCCCTGCCACTTCTCGTTCGGTGAATAAAGAGTTAATGAGCATGCAGTGTACCCCGGGGGCTCCTCTAAGCTCTGGGGACACCACAGTGAATAATTTGTCACAGTCCCTGTCCTCCTGGATCTTACCTTCCAGTGGTGGGTTTGGTTCCACGACTGAATACACCCAGCTTCTGATCTGTTCCACGCTGACCGCTTCATTCTAACTTGACTTGCGAAGGAAGAAGATGGTTCTTTCCGAGGTGGAAATCGCAAAGCCTGACTCGGCTTCTGCAGCCGCCCATCAGTTACTAAATGGAGATGTCGGTATGGCTATGGAAACTCCGGCCCCGGTAAGTTGCTGCCTGAAAGTCTGGTGAGCCACGGTGCCCCCTTGGCCGAAGACATTACATGAGCCGTGCCCATGTGAGGTCGCCACTGCCCGGCGATGACCTTCCCTGGGGCGGGATGCAGAGCCGGGTCCTCTGTTCACTCTACCGGGCCACCTGGCAGCCAAGCGTAGACGTTTTGGCTTCGCTGACTCCGGTTGGGGTGCTGTGGCGGTCTGGGAAACCTGACCGGGTGTGGAGGGCTCAGGTGGGAATTGGCCCCGCCCTGGGTGCAAGGAGCTCAAGCTGCAGTCTCTCGTAGGTGCCATTAGGACATTGTCTCCTTCGGGAAGCCACGTGGTGCCTTCCTTGCCCAGAATCATTTTTAGTGGGAGCAAGTCCTGTCCTCTGGACTCAGTCCGGCCTGAAGGTGGTCACGACGCTGACACTCCCAGCTGTCTGATCAGGGGTAGTTATTCCTCCTGCTGTAAAGCCTGGGTTTCTGTCGTCTCTAACGTGGGAATGATGTTAGTCTTCGCTTCTTATAGCTGTCGAGAGAAGTCAGTGCAGCCAACGCCTGGGCGCCTAGCAAGTGCTCAGTTCATTTTTACTACATGTTTTAGAACCAAGGGCCATTGTCCTGGCTTCAGGTCGCCTCTGGGCTCCTAAGCAACGTTAAACAATTTTTCAAATAAGATTGGAGGACATAGGAAAATAAGAAGGGCCACCCGTCTTTCCACCACCCTAATATCACCGTCTCCCCTTCTCCGCGTTTCCCTCCCGTCTATGTCTCTGGCCTGGGGCCGGCGTCAGGGTTCGTGGGAGGAGGAAGTCACACCCCTCACACCCATGTGCTTTGGAAGCAGCTCGGCCTTTTCCAGTTAAGGCACATTAGGGCTCATCTTGTGATCTGGTAGTTCCACTTCTGGGTATAGACTGCGGTTCTCAAAGTGAGGTTCCCCAGACCAGTGGCACCAGCATTGCCTGGGAAGCTGTTTGACACGCACATTATCAGCCCCTCTCCCCACTGTCAGACCCAGTGAATTAGACACCCTAGGGGCAGGGCCTCCGGGTGATTCTGCTGCACATAGTTTTGGAAACCACCGTACACACTCTCACACGTGCCCCAGGGAGCCGCGTGCATAGCAGCATTATTTATAGCAGCAGAACCTGGGTAGGTACAAGAGCCCGTCGGCGGTGGAGTGGGCACCGCACTGTGGTTGCTCGTGCAGCAGAATCCTACACAGCAGTGCAATGAGCAGACTGGGCTTCCAGGCATCAACACGGCTACGTCTAATAAACAACGATGAACCAAAGCATCAGGTCACAGAAGAAATATACAAAATACCCATTTGTATAAAATTCCCAAACAGACAACGATAAGCACTATGCCGTCCGGGGAAAAGATGTGAAGGTGGGAAAAGCAAGGAGCTGATTGCCACAAGCCCCGGGACAGAGGGCCCCTCCGGAGGTGAGGGGTGGCGGGAGGGAGGTGACTAAGGAGGTGTGCGGAATGTCTTAAGTGCCCGGAATGTCCGAGTTCTTAACCCGGTGGTTGGGCATGCCTATGTGCTTTATTATTTATGTTTTATAAACTCTTACGAACGGGTGATATAAAGACATGAAGACAAAACCAAAAAATCCATAAGGACAGCTAAGACCCAGGCTGCGGGTGGCAGTGCTTCTTTGTCCACCAGGGCCACCGTGCCCCCAGGACTGGGTGGCCATGTCCAGAGACAGTTTGGTTGTCACAGCTCCGGGCGAATAGTAAATAGTGAATAGAGGCCTGGGATTTGGCTAAACCTCCCACAGCACGTAGGATAGGCCTCCACCATGGGTAGTTACTTGTCCGCTCATCCTGATATAAAGAAACTATGCCAGTGAAAATTGACGTCTATGGTGAAGCATACACAAAAATAGGCATTAAAAGGAAAGAGGTAAAAGATAAAATGATTTTCTTATGTTTTCTCCCTAGACCCCAATCAGCCTCCCCTGCCAAGCCACTGGGGTAGGTGACAGGTTGAGTATGACCCCCCTCTCCTTCGTAAAGAGCTGTGGCTGGCATCTCAGGGTCATGGCAACAAGGATGGGCGGAGGGAGCAGAGGGACTTTTTGCTCTGCTTAGAAAGTCCTGAGCAGCTAATTGTGTCTGTAAACCCTTCTTTGCCTGACAACATTCATAGTGGGAGTTTCTCATGTTTTTTGTTGTTCGTTTGTTTGTATGTATCTAGCTTTTTAAACTATGTTACGAAGAGCAACAAATTGCTTTAGCCATTATTCTGAGAAGCCACTTGAAATTTTCCTGTATGCCTTCTCTGTGGTTTTTATATTCACTTTCACCTTTTTAAAAAAATCAGTTTTATTGAGAAATAATTTACATATAACAAAATTCCACTAATTTCAAGCATTGTAAGTTTAATTTGTATTTCTCCAGTGGTTACTGATATTTACCATCTTTTTCATGTGCTGTTTTGCTATTCATCTAACTCCTTTGGTGAAGTGTCTGTCCAAATCTTGTGCCAATTTTTTAATCAGGTTGTTTGTTTTCTTATTGTTGAGTTTCAAGAGTTCTTTATAATATTTTGGGTACAAGTCCTTTGCAAACACTTACTTCCAGATTATGGCTTCTCTATTCATTCTCTTAATAATCTCTTTTAAAGATCACATGTTTTGAAGTTTGTGAAATTCAGTTGATCAATTAATTGGTTTCTTTTCCTGTTTGATTTGATTTTTTTTTTCAGGGTACATGTGATAATTTAATACATTTGTATAATTTGTAAAGATCAAATCAGTGTAATTGGGAGATCCATCATATTAAATATTTGTCTTTTCCTTATGCTAGAAACATCTGAATTATTCTCTTCTAGTTATTATCAGATGTTTCATTTATATGGATTGTGGGTTTGGGGCCATGCCTAAGAAATCATTGCCTAACTCTTGGTCGCTAAGATTTTTCTCTTATGTTTTGTTCTACAAGTTCTATAGTTTAAAATTTTACATTTAGGTCTAAGATCCATTATAAGTTCATTTTTTTATATGGTGTGAGGTATTGATGTAAGTTTATTTATTTTTGCATGTAGATATCCAATTATCCTAGTACCATGGGTTGGAAAGCCTATACTTTTTCCACGCATTGCCTTTGTACCTTTGTCAAAAAATCAGTTATGTGCTGGCGTATTTCTGGAGTATGCATGCGTTCTTTTCCATTGATCTCTTTCTCGATTTTTACACAAATACCACACTGCTTTGGTCACTTTAGCTTTATAATAATTAAGGGAATTAGATAATGCTAGCCCTCTGATTTTTGTTCTTCCTTTTCAAAGTCATTTTGACTATTCTAGGAATATTTAGGCCATTCGTATTTATTGTGATTATTGATGCTATGACTAGGTTTGAGAATATCATTTTGCTATTTCTTTCCTATTCATCCCATCTATCCTTCATTCCCCCTTTCCTCTTTTTCTACCTTCTTTTGGATTAATCAAGTATTTTTTATGATTCTATTTTGTTCCCTTTGTTGGCTTAGTAAGTATAACTTAGTGTTTATAGTATATATCTTTAACTTAATCAGTCTACTTTCTAGGGACAGTGTATTACTTCATGTATATATAAAACCCTTATGATAGTATACTTCCATCTCTCAGCTTCCAGCCTTCATACTATTTTTGTCGTGCATTTTACTTTTATATATAACATAAACCCCACAATGTGTTGTTACTTTTTTGTTCAAACATTCAATTATCTCCTAAAGATATTTAAGTAATAAGAAAAAGTATAGTAGTTAACACTTCTGTTGTGGATTCCTTGGTGTAAATCAAGATTTCTACATAGTATCATTTTCCTTCTGCCTGAGGACTTCTTTACCATTTCCTGTAATGCAGGTCTGCTATTGATGAACTAGTTTCAGTCTTTTTATATGTCCGAAAAAGTCTTTATTTTGCCTTCATTTTTAAAAGATACATTTGCTGGGTATAGAATTCTAGGTTGATGATGTTTTTCAGTCCTTTAAAAACGTTGCTGTGCTGTCTTCTCACTTGCATTGTTTCTGGTGAGAAATCTGCTGTCAGTCTCACCTTTGTTCCTCTGTTTCTGGCTTCCTTTAGCATTTTCTTTTTATCACTGGTTTTGAGCAATTTGACTCTATTGTGCCTTTATGTAGTTCACGTTATATCTCCCGAGCTTGCAGTTTGCTGAGTTTCTTGGATCTTTGGGTTTATGGTTTTCATTAGGGTTGAGGATATTGTGTGTATTATTTCTTCAACTATTTTTATCTGTCACTCTTCCACTCTCTTTGGGGGATTACAGTAACCTAATTAGGCTTTAGGAAGTTGGTCGTCTTTGGAGGAGCGTTATATGCAGGCCATGGCAGAGTTCTCCATCTTTGCTTCCTCCAGGGGGCCGAGGACAACCCTGTGCAGCAAGTACGAGGAGAAGGTGCGCCCCTGCATCGACCTCATCGACTCCCTGCGCGCGCTGGGCGTGGAGCAGGACCTGGCCCTGCCGGCCATCGCCGTCATCGGGGACCAGAGCTCGGGCAAGAGCTCCGTGCTGGAGGCGCTGTCCGGAGTTGCCCTTCCCAGAGGCACCGGTAAGAGCTCACGCCCCGCATTAGTCTGATCTGGCTGCCATAACAAAATACTACGGTGGAGTGGCTTAAACCAAATAAATTTATTTTCTTATGGTTCTGGAGGCTGGGACTCCAGGATCAAGGTTTAGTTTCTCCTGAGACCTTTCTCCTTGGCTGGCATGTGGCCACCTCCCCACTGTGCCCTCGCAGGGCCGTTCTTCTATGTGCGCCAGCATTGCTGGTGTCCCTTTCTCTTATAAGGGCGCCAGTCATACTGGATTAGGGCCCCACCCTAAGGACCTCATTTAACCTGAATCACCTCTTAAAGGCCTTACCTTCAAATACAGTCCCATTGGGGGTTAGGGCTTCTACATCAGAATTTGGAAGGAACACTATTCAATGCATAACATCGTCGCATTGCACATTTTTTTTTGCAAGTTGTATGTAATCTAGAATTCTTGGAAGATCTAAATAAAGGCATTTGAGGGCCCAGTCCAGAACTACATGCATGTGGGTGTCTGTCCTGAACCCCTTCCCAAGAGGTGACCGGACATCTTGGGAGATAAGAACCGGTGCTCCGGTTGGTGACGCTGTCTGAGTTGCTAGGCCAAGGATGTCAGTAGGGCTCGAGGCGGGAGGTCAGACCTGGGATGGGTCTTGGAATACAGGTCAGACGTGGTTGGGACGTAGGATTGGAAGCGGTTTACAGTATGAGGACAGCGATAAGATGGCCTGGTGGTAGCCGTGTGCCTTCCTGGTGGGTGTACAGTGTGTATGTTGGGGGGGAGTCATGGGGATGTTTGCATGATTTGGCGGTATTTCCCACTGCAGTTTGCCACCTGGGCTGATGACAGAACACCGGGATGAGACAGGAAGCCCAAAGTGGCGACTCTCAAGCATTAGTGAGCAAAAACTCACATTCGAAAGGCACGTTCTTGAGGTCGCATTGGGGCATAATGCATGAGAGTGTCAGAGGGGGAGACCAGACGGTCTTCAGTTGTAAACGTCTCCCCAGACAATCGTGCGGAAGTTTGAGAACCCCTGGTCTAAGGCGCATGCAGGACTTTGAAGGGCAGAGCGTGGAGCTGATGTGAGTGTGTCCTCCTAGGAATTGTGACAAGATGTCCTCTCGTGCTGAAACTGAAGAAACTCGTGAACGAAGATGGGTGGAGAGGCAAGGTCAGTTACCAGGACTTCGAGATGGAGATTTCCGACGCCTCGGAGGTGGAAAAGGAAGTCAGTAAAGGTAAGGACCCCATGTCTGCTCATCGTCCCAATCGGATGCCCAGTCGAGTCTCTCGGGGTGGGTGGGCTCTGCCTGTGACTGTTCCCACCCCCCACCCCCCCCGCCCCGGGCCTGGCTGCCCCCTGGACACCCCCGTCCTCATCAGGCCCCCGTCCCTGGAGCTTTCCCCTTGTGTCCTTGTTAAGACCAGCACACTGGTGCAGAATCTGGTATCGATAATGTGTTGCTCAGTATGTAAATAAGTATCTGAGAATAATGCAAATCTTAACGTTTAAAACTTGTCTCTAAACACGGAGGTCTGTCCCTTTTCCAAGGGCTTCCCCACTCCACAGATCTGGTGGGGGAGGAACGGTCTGGGGGTGAGGGAGCCCCTCGCCCTGTTACCTCGTAAAAGCGGCTGCCCGGGTTGTCACGGAACCCCACTCGGCTGTCCTCCGAGAAGGGCATGCGTGCGCGTGTTTGCCTAATCCTAGCTCGGGCTGGGTCAAGGCAGGCCTCGGTGGACTCAGAGATGAATGTGGAGCCCCTGCAAGGGGAAACCACGCTGGCCGTGCAGGCGAGGGCCAGCCAGCTGGCCGAGAGCAGCACCTCTGAGATGGACAAATAATGACTTCTTTGCTGACTTTGGTTCTGTTCCGAGCATGTCACGTAATTAAGTGTCCGTCATTTGGGAAAGTACTGAAGTGGCGTGAACTGACACCCAGTGGGAGGAAAGGACGGGTTTAGCTTTCGTGCAGACAGAAGCACTAAGTAACGTTTGTTGGCTCTTACAGACACTTAAATGATGTTATAGACAAACTGTGATTTTGTATTAGTGGGGGTTAGGTTGGCTGCCGGTGGCAGCAAACTCAAAACAACTGTGTGCCTTAGTCAGCCCTGGCTGGGTAACAAACCCATCTCAGAATCAGATGGCTTTCCCGGCATGGTGGCTGACGCCTGTAGTCCTAACACTTTGGGAGACTGAGGCAGGAGGATTGCTTGAGGTCAGGAGGTCGAGACCAGCCTGAGTAAGAGCAAGAGCAAGACCTCATCTCTACAAAAAGTGGAAAATGTTTGCCAGGTGTAGTGGCGTGCACCTGTAGCCCCAGCTACTCTGGAGGCTGAGGCAGGAGGATCAAGGTTGAGCCCAGGAGTTCAAGGTCACAGTGAGCTGTGGTGATGCCACTGTGCTCTAAGTGAGGCACCAGAGCAAGATCCTGTCTCAGAACAAAAAGTAGGGGGGGGAAAGGACATGCACACACACACACAGACACTAAAAAATAAAAAAAAATGGCTTAAAAATTTTTATTTCTCACGATTTGATGGCCTGAGAAGTTCTGTTCTGGGCCGGATTGGCTGGGGCTGATGGTCTAGGATGGCCCTCAGCTAACACCCCAGGCCTTCTCTCCACGTGGTCTCTCCTCCTCCAGGAGGCTCTGCTGGCTGGGCTTTTTTTACGTGGTAGGAGAGGGGTTCCCAGCAGCACGAGAGGGCCAGCCCCAAAGCGTAGCACCTTTCAATCTCTGCTGGCATCACATTTTGTGGTATCCCATTAGCCAGAGAAAGTCACAGGGTCAAGCCCAATTTCAAGGGATGGACTATCCGTGGAAGAAGTGGCAAAGCCACACTGTAAAGTAACATGCACACGGGGACGGAGGGGAGTATTGGTACCACCTGGGCAAGCAAGCTGTTTGGACAGTGTGGAAGTTCTCTCTCTCTCCCCTCCCCAACATAAAAGTCTGGAGGCGGGCTGCTTTGGGGGTTCCAGCGTCCGGATCTGAGACTCTTACTATGCTTCTCTGTTTCGTGTGGCCTCTGTCCCCAAGGCCCTCTCATGATTCGGTCGGCAGGTCCACGTAAGAGCCGGTGGACCCTGGCAAAGGGCCTGTCCCCGCCTTATATAAGGACACTTTCTGTAAGGTGACTTAGCATTTTCACATGTGCCCCGTTGGCCAGGACCTGACCTCATGCTCATGTCTGGGGTGAGTGGATCCCAGGGTGATTAGCAGACTATATGCTGCACAGGCTGTTGTCACTTCCAATCTAGGTTCTACATTGGTGTCAAACATACCCAAAAGACATTCTGGATGTAGAAAAGAGTGAAGTGGTATTAGCTAACAATTCAATGACACAAATTCACATCATACATTTTTCATTATTAAGGAAGAAGGATCAGGCTGAAATGCCTTAATGGAAGCCAGCAGCCAATGCTCGTCTTAGCTAAAATAAGCACGTGGCCCGATATAATTTCCCAGCGTATGTTTCGGGAATGCCTGTGTATTCTTATTTGTTTGCGGTTAGCTTCGTTGCTCATTTCCTCCCGACATCAGCGGGAGGATTTTAGGCGTGCCGCCAGGAAGGACTGCTCCACCCTGCTCCGCTTTGGACTGCTGTGGGTTGGTGTCACCCGTGGGGACATCCTCGTGAGGTCTCTCCATAGACAGTGCTGGCCACGGGCAGGGAAAAAACCGAGTTATCCCTTGAGGCCCTTTTCAGTTGCGATCACGGAAAAGTGAATCTGATCCAAAGATGCTTTTATCTGTGACTCACAGAGGGTGCAAGGTGCTTCCAGCGTTCCCACTGTACTGAGATGCTGCCGCCCTAAGCTTTACTGGAGTTTTCTTTTTTTCTCCCGTCCAGCCCAGAACGTCATCGCTGGGGAAGGGATGGGCATCAGTCACGAGCTCATCAGCCTGGAGATCAGCTCCCCCCACGTCCCGGATCTGACTCTCATAGACCTTCCCGGCATCACCAGGGTGGCCGTGGGCAATCAGCCTGCTGACATCGGGCGCCAGGTACAACCTCAGACTCCACGTCTGGCCTTGGCCTTGGCCTTGGCCTTGGCCTTGGCCTTGGCGGGGTTGGGGGCTGGGGTAGAACTTGGGGGAGGGAAGGGGACGCCGTACTGGAGCAGCAGAGTGCAGGGCTGAGTTTGAATGAGTGGATATTTGGAGGGGTGAGTGGGGAATTCGTAGAGCCCATTGGTGGAAATCTCCTTTGGCGAGCTTTGATGGGGAAAGGGAGGCAAACAGGCAAAACTGGGAACAAATTCTACGTGTATATGTTTTGTGTTTAATGCAATGGCTGATTTTTGGTTGTAGTTGCACATCGCGGCATAGCTAGACAGGTGTGCTTTAGGAAGGAGTTTTATGTGGAAAGAGGTAGCATTGGAAATAGGTATAATGATACCTGTCTATCAGTGAATTTCGCATTACGGATTAGAGACTTAGGGAAGGAGTCGAGCAGTTTTTGGCATGGTGTTTTCCATTGTGACCATCAGACCTCAGGTCTCAGGGGGTTGGTCAAACCAGCTAACACCTGTGGTTCTCCCTGCCCCTGTGGCTCTGTTTCTGCCGCAGGGAACTTGGTTCCCCATAACTCCGCCTTGGGTGGTGCTGCCGTGTGGGTCTGTGGGGTCATTTCCCTGGAGTTCCTTCTCTTTGGGAAGTACCCCCGGGGCTCTGAGGACCTGAAGCAGGTGCAAGGTCGGCACCTGTCCCCGTTCCCGTTCCCCTTTGCAACGCTCGCCTCCCGCCTCCTCGCAGATCAAGGTGCTCATCAAGAAGTACATCAACAAGCAGGAGACCATCAACCTGGTGGTGGTCCCCAGTAACGTGGACATCGCCACCACGGAGGCGCTGAGCATGGCTCAGGAGGTGGACCCCGAGGGGGACAGGACCATAGGTAGGGAGAGGGGGACCTGAGCATGGCGGGTGGTCTGCCAGTGGGAAAGTGTCCTTTGGATCCCGGTGGGCGTTGCTCAGCATGCACGGGGCTGGGACCCAGGTAAGAGCTGCTAAGGTGGCAGGTGTGGTGCCCACCACCCAGGCCAGATAAATGAGCCACAGCTGACTCTTGTTGGCTACAGGTTGACTGGTAACCGTTGTCCACCTGTTTGGAAAAGGCGTGGTGAGCTCAGAGGGAAGGGCATAATCAGGAAGCGCGTTGTTTCCATTATGGATGCATGTGGGGTGGAAACCATGGCTGATGAGGGTCACACGCAGTGTGGTCCCTTCGTGCCACGGGCCTCACTGCAGGGGCTCAGGGAGAGCCCGTGGCCGCTGGCAGGGCTCTGGCCGCTGCCTGCCTGCCGTTCTCCCCCTGCACCGGGCTCCGTTGGCCCCTTGGTTCTGCAGGAGCAGGGCTGGGAGGAAGCCTGGGGGCCGGCGGCGGGGGGCGGGAGCTGCCCTCACCTCCGCCTCGTGGCCCCAAGCCTTCTCCGACCGGAGTCTCCGGCTCACAGGAATCTTGACCAAGCCCGATCTGGTGGACAGAGGCACGGAAGACAAGGTGGTAGACGTGGTGCGGAACCTCGTGTGCCACCTGAAGAAGGGCTACATGATCGTCAAGTGCCGGGGCCAGCAGGACATCCAGGACCGGCTGAGCCTGGCCGAGGCCCTGCAGAGGGAGAAGGCCTTCTTCGAGGACCACCCCTATTTCAGGTGCGCTCGCCCGGGTTTCACACTGGGGCAGCCAAGCCGGGGACGCTGGTCCAAAGCAGATGCTTAGAGAGAATGTGTGTGTGTGTGTGTATGTGTGAGTCCGTGTGTGTGAGTCCGTGTGTGTGTGTGTGAGTGTGTGTGTGTGTGTGAGTGCGTTTGTACCTGGGTGATGACTCTAGAACCCGCCTGGAAGCATGAAAGGGGAATTCTCAAAGCACTGCAAAAAAGCATTAAAAATCAACCAAAATAAGGAAAATATTGTGTGCAATAATTTAAATAATATGGTACTGGGACCAGAATAGAAACATAAATAGAAAAATACAAGCCTAGGAATAGGCCCAGATACATACATTGGATATATGGTAAATTCCACATGTCAGATCAATGGGTTGTGTCAGTTTGACTATCAATCGATGGCATTGAGATCATTGCTTAATATTTGGAAAAAACTTCAGTAGCACCCTTCACACATCACACCAAAATAAATGCCAGCTGAAGTTTAAAATTAAATGTAAAAAAGAAGCCACGTGCATCCCAGAAGAAAATGTAGACGGACAGTTTATATCCTCGGTGAAAACCCTCATGCCAAAGGTAAAGTTTGTTTTTAAAAGGAAGAGACTGATACATCGATTAGACGTAAAGCAATGAGAACGTGCAGAGCTGTAAACATTGCTGCATTCGGTTCTCCCAGGCGCCTGCAGCAAGGCGGCACTCAGGGTTGCGGGGTGTGGAGGAGATGCCTGCACACCTGCACGTGGCGGCGCTGGTCGCAGTAGCCAAGGGGCAGAACAACTCAAGTGTCCATCCGTGGACGACTGCATAAAAAAGTGTGGTCTACACATAAAATGGGCTGCCGTTCAGCCATGGAAAGGAAGGGAATTCTGACACACACCACAACACGTATGAACCTTGACATCACGCTCAGTGAAATAACCCCGTCACAAGAGGACCAGAACATACGGTGGCACTTGTATGAGGCCCGCAGGGTCCTCAGCTTCCTAGAGACAGACGGCAGAATGCCGGGTGCCAGGGCTGGGGGAGAGAGAACGGGGAGTTCGTGTTTAATGAGGATAAAGTTTCAGTCTGGGAAGATGGGAGACGGAGGGTGGTGATGGCTGCACAACAACGTGAATGCACTTAATGCCCCTGAACTGTGCACTTAAAAATATTAATAGTCAAAATGGTCAATTTTATAGTATATGCCACAATTTTTTTTTTAAAATTGGCAGTTATAGAAACTGAAGCTCACTCTTGCAAACGGGCTCATGCCTTCCTGCTGCCCTTTATACTAAAGGTCCTTTAAAATGTAGGAAACCCTGTGATAACTCCCCTGTGGCCACAAACTTGGGTAGGGTGAGAAGATGCTCGGCTTCCTTCCTCCAAGCAGCCCGTGGTTTAAGTTCTTCTCCTGGACAAGGGCGTGTCTCCCCCAGCTCAGCATTCATCCACACACTTAGGTAAACAGGCATCGATGTGCTTTTAGGAAGACCTACGCTTTATGCATCATGTCTACTTATATATGTATCTCCTACACGCAGAAGGGGGTATGTGTTATGGAAATGTATCTGTAGATGTGTATGTGTGTTTTTATGAAGATCAGTTGTACGGTCAGATGTCATGAGACACATTATATATATCAGGTGGAATGGGTCATTCCATGCCATTGTTGAAATGTCTGAGATTGCGCAAATTCACTCATGATGCCGCGCGGTACTGTTCTGGATATTTGTTGGGTATCAGTGGCAAGACGTTCCATTCATCTGTAAGGAACGGCCCTGAGTTTCTCCAACAGCGGGACGCAGACTTGCATGTTCTGGCTGCATCGCGGTGGACGCCTACCTTGTGCTCTCTCTTAGGTATCTTCTGGAGGAAGGAAGGGCCACTGTCCCCTGCCTGGCAGAGAGACTGACCACGGAGCTCATCACGCACATCTCCGTAAGCACACGCAGAGCTGTGTGTTCTCCAAAGGGAGACACAGGGCTGAACCTTGCTGGCTGCTTTTTTTTTTCCTGAGACACAGTCTCACTCTGTTGCCCAGGCTAGAGTGAGTGCCATGGCATCAGCCTAGCTCACAGCAACCTCAAACTCCTGGGCTCAAGCGATCCTCTGCTCAAGCCCCGGAGTAGCCTGGAACTACAGGCATGCCACCCCCCATGCCTGCTAATTTTTCGTATTAGTATTAGTTGGCCGTTATTTCTTCTAATATATAGTAAGACGGGGTCTGCTCGATGTCTGATGGTCACTCCTGACTTGAGCGATCCTCCGCCTCGGCTCCCAGAGTGCTAGGATTTTAAATGCTACTTGCACACAGATCTCCTGGGGACCTTGTGAAGATGCAGATTCGGGTTTGGTGGGTGTGGAGTGGAGCCTGAGATCCCGCATTTCTGGCAAGCCCCAGGTGGTGTGGATGCTGCTGGTAGGAGCGGTGGCAGACTCCATCCGCCTGGCCTAAATAAAAATAAAAACCACATGCACACTCTACTAACTGACTTTCATTGCCAACCACCATTATAATGTCCTAGCCATTGTAATGAACTATTTTTTATTTCTAAAAGCTCTCTGTGGTTTTTTTTTTCCAAATCTGCCTACACAGTGTCTTTTGCTTTTTCAAATTTTCAGCTCAGCGCCGGGGTTCAAGGTCTCCCACGCTCAGGGCCCAGGAGTGTGGGTGGAGAACAGGGTTTCCAGCTGATCGCGATGATGGGAGCAGAGGCTGTTGGGTTCCCACCTTTGCACCAGAAAGAGGGTCTGCCTTATTCGAGTCCCACCTTGAGCAAGCTGTGGGGACTGATGCTTTGCCTCTGCTCCAAGTCAGGCTCACAGACTCAAGTTCAAGTTTTCTTAGCTAGACAAGTGCCTCGAGGCCAATCTGCCATCCTTGCTGCATTCTTCCTGAGTCCTCTCCTGGAAGGCGCTGTACCCTGCTTTGGCCTCTAAAGACCCCTCGTTAACTTGCCAGCTCCCTGGCAGGGACAGTTTTAGGTTTTAGCCATGCTTAGATGTTTGCCATGAAGAGTGTGCCAGCATGTGCAGTCACCACATTGTTGAAGCACGAGTCCCTGATAACTTTTGCTGTTAAAAACATTAAGAGTTGTTGAATCTCAAATTGTTCCAACTGCCACTTTTCATACCTGCTAGGCACCTGGATTCCAGTCTCTCTGCAGAGAGCTTACTTATATGATCACAGAGAGCTTTTCCTTGTGTTGTTACTATGGGGCTGTGAACCACGCAAACCCGTGTCTTAGCGGTCTGAGGCTGTTTTCTATGGCAGTGCGGAAAGCAGGGAACCTGCGTTGAGAAAACAACCCCAATGTGCCTCTCTTCTGCCTGTAAACTTCCCTTTTGGAGAAACCCGGGAAGTCAGATGGACCATGGCAGCTACTTCTGCAGGTGGCCGGACGTCCTTCTCATTTCCTGTCGTATTTATAAACTTCCCACTATTTTCCTCCTTTTCCTCAGAATCTCTGCCTCTGCTGAAATCAAATTAAGGAGAGTCACCAAAAATAACGGAGGAGCTGCAAGTATTGGCGTGGACATACCCAAGAGAGAATGAAAATTTCTTCTTGATTAGACGTGAGTGTCGCCCACGTGCCGTCCATGGGGCAGACGCATGGCCGGAGCACTGTCTTTCTTACTCCGCACGGGTCCAAATCGGGGTCCCCAGCACCGGGCGGTAGGCAGGTTGCGGAGGTCTCAGGAGGGCAGATCAGCAGTGAGAGACGTCATCATCGCGCTCCCTGTCGCTTTGCCTTTGATTCGTGTCCTGAGCACCTCCCCGCATCCCCAAGGCTTAAAAAAAAAAAAAAAAATAAAAATAAATAAATAGGCAGGGCAGGGTTTCTGTGCCAAAGGCCTCTTCCCCCCCCCCGGATTCTGCAAAGCCCATAAGGAGAGGAAGAATGACTCCCCAACCCTCAACATACACACTCCAAACCACCTCAGCACTTGCATCTGATATGTCTCTGCTTATTTAATGTTTTCCCTGTGCAGAAAATTAATGATATTACAGGACATTCCCATAGTACAAGGGGAGGAAATTGTCGGGGAGGAGGACACCCGGTGTTCCCAAAACTACGAAAGAGTTCCTGTCAAATGAGTGGTTTAATTGAAGATAATTTCCAGAAAAGTGAGTATCTTAGTCCCTTTGGGCTGCTATAACAAAAACGGCGTTGACTGGTAATTAAAAAATAGAAATTATTTGCTCGCAGTTCTGGAGGCTGAAATGTGTAATCATCGAGGCACCGGCAGACTCAGTGTCTAGTGAGGGCTAGGTCTCTGCTTCAAAGACGGCACCTGCTAGCTGTGTCCCCATATGGCACACGGGACAAACGAGCTCCCTCAGACTCCTTTTTTATGAGGGTGCAGCAAGCATGTCTCAGAGATAGTGTGGGTTCAATTCCAGACAATCAAAATCAAGTGAATATTGCGATAACACAAGTCACACAATTTTTTATATTCCCGATTCATATAAAAGTTATATTATACCACACTGTAGTCTAAATGTGCAATAATAGCACTATGTCTAAAAAATGTATGTACTTTAATTTTAAAAATATTTATGGCTGGCCGGGCGCTGTGGTCACGCTGTAATCCTAGTTTGGGAGGCCGAGCAGCGGATTGCTCAAGTCAGGAGTTCAATACCAGCCTGAGCAGAGCGAGACCCCGTCTCTACTATAAATAGAAAGAAATTAAATGGCAACTGATAAGTATATAAAAATTAGCCGGGCATGGTGGCGTATGCCTGTAGTCCCAGCTACTCGGGAGGCTAGGAGGAGGATCGCTTGAGCCCAGGAGTTTGAGGTTGCTGTGAGCTAGGCTGACGCCACGGCACTCACTCTAGCCTGGACAACAAAGTGAGACTCTGTCTCAAAAAATAAAAAAAAAAAAAAAAAAAAAAAAATTTATGGCTGAAAAATACTGGCACAGGCACAAAGTGAGCATGTGCTGTTGGAAAAATGGCACCAATAGACTTGTCCAATGCAGGGTCACCATGAACCTTCAATTTGTGAAAGCCTCGGAGTCTGCACAGCGCAATGCAGAGGTGTGTGCCTTTACTCCCATGCGTGAGGGCAGAGCCCGCACTTCCCAATGACCCCGCCTCTTAAGGTTGAGTTTCACATTGGGGTTTACGTTTCAACATGTTGGCTGCATGGGGCTCACGCCTGTAATTCAGCACTCTGAGGCCGGCAGGGAGATCACTTGAGGCAGAGGTTGGAACCAGCCTGAGCAAGAGCGAGATCCCGTCTCTACTAAAAATAGAAAAAACTAGCCGGGCATGGTGGCACCTGTAATCCCAGCTCTTTTGGAGGCTGAGGCAGGAGGGTGGCTTGAGCCCAGGAGTTTGAGGTTGCAGTGAGCAAGGCTGACACTATGGCACTCTAGCCCAGGTGACAGAGCAAGACTCCGTCTCAAAAAAACAAACAAACAAACAAACAAAAAAACCAAAAAACCAAAATAATAAAATAAATTTCAACATATGAATTTTGGGGGACACAAACATTCAGTCCATGCGGCGGGGAGTCAAGGTACCATCATAAACCCGATATATCGGGTTGACAGAGAGGAAAGCGGAGCATTGGTGAGGACAGCCACAATAAGGCGTTAGTGCCGCAAAAGCCACATTTGCTCTGTTCCCTATCACTGGACCCAAGTGTCCATCAGCTGGTGAACGGATAAACAACCGTGGAACGTCCACGGGTGGCCCGAGTCTGCCAGGGCTGCCAGCACGAAGCCCCGCAGACAGGGTGGCTTAAACAACAGAAATGTTCTATCTCACCATCGTGGGGGCTGGAAGTCCGAGGTCAGGGCGTCGGCGGGTCTGGTTTCTCCTGGGGCCTCTCTCCTTGTCTTGTGGACGGTATCTTCTCCCTGTGTCCTCTGTATTGTCCTTCCGTGTCCTAATCCCCTCTTCTTAGAAGGACCGCAGTCAGACTGGATGACGCCCCACACTAATGACCTTACTGCAATTTAATCACCTCTGTAAAGAGCCTGTCTCCAAACGGTCACGTGCTCAGGGACTGGGGGTTAGGGCTTCCGCACGTGAACTTGTGGGGGACACAGTTCAGCCTGTGACACCAGACACTGGCATATTTTCAGCCACAAAAGTACAGAGCACTGATAGATGCTGCCACATGGGTGACTCTTGATGTCACACTGAGTTAAAGCAACAAGTGATGAAGCACCACATACTGTGAGCCCATTGGTAGGAAAAGTCTGGAACAGGTAAATCCCCAGGGACAGAAAGCAGAGCTGTGGCTGCCAGGGCTGGGGAGGGGGCTCTGGGGAGGGGGGCGCTGGGGAGGGGGCGCTGGGGAGGGACTGCTGATGGGTGGGGGGGTTTCCTTGGGGTGACGGAAACGTCTAGGAGTTAGTGGGGACAGTGGCCCAACTTGTGAACATAACTAAAAATCACCGAGTTGTGCACTTTTAATGAGGTGAATCTTATTATAGTATGCGAATGATATCTCAAATTAAAAAATTCCTGTGGGAAAATATCTCCTGACCGAAAAATGGCATCAATCAGACAGCCATGCCTGCTTAGTTCTTCAAAAGGAGGAACCAGAGCCCTTCTGAATTCCCACCCTGGATGGAAACCCCATAGTCTAGGTGGTTGGGAGTAGAAATAATTCCAAAAGCATGGAGATAAAAGAAACATTTTGTATAATCAAGAGTGATACCTCTGACTCGAGGGGGGAGGGGGGCAAGGGCAACCTTAACATTTGTACCCCCGTAATATGCTGGGAAAAAAATCAATAAATTAAATAAAAAAGATAAGAGAAAAAAAGTGATACCAAGTCACATTGATACAGTTCGATGTGCCTGGTTACTGTGTCACTCCACTGGATTTATAAATGATTTTTTACTCATGCCGCTCACGTGAGTGTGAGACGGGCAGCTGATTCCAGACGGCGTTCAAGGTCATTTCTGCTTTTTAAGGGGCCTACAGTTCTATGTAGTATTCCATTGCTATATTCTTTAACGTAGTATTCTATTATGATACGATTTGTTCGGTTAAAATAACATTGGATTTACAAAAGTTCATACTCAAGTTCCTTTCCAAGAGTGCTTCCTCCTCTAACTTGCTGCACTTGCTGATTTCTGGCATCTTCCCGGCTCCTGCCCTCCCCATCCCGAATGACTAAGGAAATTTATCTTGAGATCTATTTCTTCATTGCAACCCCTGGTTTTATTTTGCAACTCGAAGGTCAGATTTGATGTGATGCTATTTGTTTCTGACCACTCATATTTCCAGGAAGTCTAGAATGGTATTATGTTTAGAAAAACCCACGAGATTGTTTTGTTTTGTTTTGTTATAAACCTTGAAATATTCTTTTTTTTTTTTTCGGCATATTATGGGGGTACAGATTTTAAGGTTTCAATAAATGCCCTTTCCCTCCCTCCCCCCCACAAGTCTGAGTCTCCAGCATGACCATCCCCCAGATGGTGCACATCTCACTCATTATGTATGTATATACCGCCCCCCTCCCCCCTGCCCAATACCTATTACTGTAGTACCTATGTGTCCACTTAGGTGCTGCTCAGTTAATACCAGTTTGCTGGTGAGTATATGTGGTGCTTGTTTTTCCATTCTTGGGATACTTCACTTAGTAGTATGGGTTCCAGCTCTAACCAGGAAAATATAAGATGTGCTATTTCACTGTTGTTTCTTAGTGCTGAATAGTACTCCATGGTATACATAGACGACATTTTATTAATCCATTCTTGGATTGATGGGCACTTGGGCTGTTTCCACAGCCTTGCAATTATGAATCCTGCTGCTATAAACATTTGAGTGCAGGTGTCTTTTTAGTAGAGTGTCATTGGATCTTTTGGGTAGATGCCCAGCAATGGGATTGCTGGATCAAATGGTAGATTCACTTGTATCGCTTTAAGGTATCTCCATATTGCTTTCCACAGAGGTTGAACGACGAGATTATTTTTGTAAAATAATTCAGAGCTATTCCTTCCTTCCTACTGTAGGTTATGAAATTATCAGCAGACAGGTCTGGAAGTTTGAATGTCAGTTTCGTGGCAGAGAGCTGCCAGGATTCGTGAATTACAAGACGTTTGAGACTATCGTCAAACAGCAGATCAGAACCCTGGAAGAGCCGGCTGTGGACATGCTGCACAAGGTGACCGGTGAGTTCTTGGTTTCGCCTTTAGGCATTGTGTTTCCAGGGCAGGGAAAGGTCTGAGCCAAAGCCAGCGGTACACTCCCTTCAGAGCCTTCCTCCTGGGGTGGTTTCCAGCACCAACAAGCAGCTCGCCAACTTGGTGCCAAGAGCTCGATTCATTCTAATCCTAACTGCCCGGGTCAGCACAGACCCCACGACACCTGAAGGACTCGGTCCCACAACTTCCCCAGCTACAGATGCCAGTCTGGAGTCGCAGACCTCCCGCACTCCTACCTGGGCCGTCTGTCTGGTAAGATCTCTCT